TCCACCATCTGTGCATCCCTTCCTCCTCTACACACCGCGCGCGCTTCACTCCTCCACCATCTGTGCGCCCTTCCTCCTCTACACACCGCGTGCGCTTCTCCTCTTCACGAACATTCGCTAGCTGTATAATGTAGCGCGCATGCGCCGTCACGCTTCGAGAACATCGGCAGCTGACGCGCGCGCATGCGCCGTCGCGCTTCGAGAACATCGGCAGCTGACGCGCGCGCATGCGCCGTTGCGCTTCTCCCCCTTCTCGAACATTCGACAGCTGACGCGCGCATGCACCGTCACCCACCATCTGTGCCGCGCGCGCTTCTCCCCTTCGAGAACATTCCACAATTCTCCTGATTCTCCAGTGGACGCGCATGCGCCGTCGCGCTTCGAGAACATTCAACAGCTGACAGTGCATGCACCGTCGCGCTGTATATATACTCAAGGTCGGCGCTCGCTCGCTCAGTTGCCGCTCGTCGGTTGGTTTGTACGGCGCGTCGACGTCCAAGGTCGCGGTGAAATGAATTCCAACGAATCCACAAACACAATGATCGACGTCCCTTCGACCAGCGCCGCCCTTTCGCATACGTGTGTACGTGTTCACTCATTTAACACCCCCTCCTACAACCACGTTAACCAATTTAGCCATCGACCCAAGTAAGTCGCAATTTAACACCCCATTTCACAACCACGTTAACCAATTTAGCCATCGACCCAAGTAAGTCGCACTTTAACACCCCGTTAACCAATTATATGCTCCGCATCCTCCTCAGTGTTCCCCCGAGGGAAGCTGCGGGCAATTTTTTTTCGCTCACGAGATATGCGCGCACGCAGACGACCACGGCCGGAAAGGCGATGTTAGCTCCGCAGAAACAGGAGGCTAGCCAATCCTTCCCCGTATATATATGCATACATATACGTGAATGATGGCAGCGGCAAAAAAAAAAAAAACAACAACAACAACAACAACAGTTGAGACTGTGCATATAATTGCTATCGCAAAAAGAAAAAAAAAGAACTGGCAGATCCCATGTACGGTGAGAATCAATCATATGCGAAGCACAAAGGAGAAATGTTGATATGTCACTTTAAAATCAGCACAACGTTACCAAGTGGAAGTAAATGATACGGTACATGACTTCCGTGTCATGATTATCATGTTTAGATGTGTTCTTGACCTTCGTCATCTATTCTCGTCACGTGATACCAAATTTAGTATATTTGAAGCTAGCGAAGCGGCCTTGACACGCGATGAGCGTGTTATGTTGTCATGTTCTTACATGACACGCGTGTCAGGATTATTATGTTTGCACCAGTCATATATTTTGTCATTTATTGACGTCACGTAACACAAAATTTGGCATATGTGGAGCTAGCAAAACGGCCACGAGCGCATCATGAAGGGCCCAATATACTTCAATGTAGCGTTGACGCGCGCGCACGCTGGGCACAGCGACGCTACGTTAGCAAAACGCGAGCACTCTATTGTCTGACGCCAGGTACGCGACCAGCGTCCGTCGGTGCAGCCCGACACCAATCAGCGCGAAATGGGACATGCTGCATTTCGCGCCGATGCGTTACCCAGACAACACTGCGTCTCCCTCTTTTCGTGACGGAGGGATGCTAGATGCGTTGAAACGCGCATGCGTCAAAGCAACGCAGCGCGGCGTGCACCTGCGAGCATATGGCAGGACCGGCGCCTGGCGTGGCAACGCCGACGGGACGCGACAAAATGAACGCCGGCGAGCACGTGCACCGTGTCACGTCGATATGTATTGGCGCCTTGACTGTGGCATGTGGTCATGTTCTCACATGACATCTATCTCATGATTATCATGTTTGCACCAGTCACATACCTTCGTGATCCATTGGCGTCACGTAATACCAAATTTGGCATATGTGAAGCTAGCGAAACGGCCGCGATTGCATCATCAGTGTGGCATGTAGTCATGTTGTAACATGACACGCTTGTCATGATTATCATGTTTGGATGTGTCATTTACCTGTGTCGTCCGTTCGCGTCCAGTAATACCGAGTTCGGTACATGTGAAGCTAGCAAAACGGCCGCGAGTGCATCATGAGCGTAGCATGTAGTCATGTTCTTACATGACATGCAACTCATGCTTATCATGGTTGCACCAGTATCATACCTTCGTCATCCATTCACGTCCTGTAATACCAAATTTAGTTAAAGGAAGCTAGCAAAAGGGCCACCAGTGCATCATGAGCGTGGCAAGTAGTCATGTTGTTACATGACATGCATCTCATGATTATCATGTTTGCACCAGTCATATCTTCGTCATCCATTCACCTACTGTAATAACAAATTTTGTATATATGACGCTAGCGAAACAGCCGCGAGCGCATCATGAGCATGGCATGTAGTCATGTTGTTACATGGCAGGCGTGTTGTGATTTTCATGTTAGGGTTTGTCGCTTGTGTTCGCCATGTAATCATGCCATACCATGCCAGTTTTGCAACATGCCATGTTAACGAAGCCACCGCAAGAGCTGCAGGACTGTGAATTGTAAATCTTGACATTCATGACATACCTGTCATGAATTTTATGTTATGACTAGTCAAATATGTTCTTCATACAGTCATGTCATGCCATACCAAGTTAGGTATCGATATCATTATCCAATCGGCCAGTTTAGCTAAACGTCGTAGGCCGCTAGATAAATAGATAGATAGATAGTCGCCGAAGTTCGCTAAGAAATGCTTTGCATTTAAAATGCACGTAATAACGAAGTGACTACTCAATTCAAAGGCAGCATTGAATCCAATAAACACACTGTCCTTAAGAAATATTTGGCTGGTCCCATGCCTTGCAAGAATTGGCTTAATGCTAAGCAGTCAGCAGGAACTGCCTATGCTACATTTTTTGGCTTTGAGCCATGCGTTATGAAGTGGATCGGCGTGTTTTAGTAAATCTAGTAGTTGTGTGCATATGGTGGGCTTACCAGGAACGTCAACTACACAAGGAAATCTGTACGGATTTTTTAGACAGAAAAGCTTCTTAGTTGCCGAAAAATTCGTCCTGGTACGGGGTCCCTGCAGTTTTGTGATTACCTTTTCTTCCGATTATCCGATTTAAAATAACAGAGCTCAACTGGTTGGTAGGTTTTGATGTTGCAAAGACTGAGTGGGCAAACATGGACAGTGGCATTTAAAGGGCAACTTGAGGGTCTGACGTAATGCCAGCACGTGCGTTAGAGCACAAACGTCAATATTATGGAAGCGGAATGTGCTCTACGGTGTGATGTGAATATCATATGCAAGTTTCATTAGCATATTACTCCAGTCTAGCAACGCTGTAATACGGCTTGCTGAATTATAGGATTACGAATGTGATGTTAAATGCTATTGTAATGTAATGCTACAAGAGTGGAGTCAATACTGGATCCCCAACTGACATTAATCCAACATGATGCCTGTGTCGTACGAGTAAATATGCAATGTTTATTGCTTTGTTGTAAAATCATACAGCCAGCACTGCAGTCACAATTTACATTGTATCAGCATTACGCCTACATGGAGTTTTTCCTAAGAAGCTTCGATACATGGTGCAGATCTGTGGTAGAATACCTGACTGCCCGCAGAACACTTAGGTTCCGTTCCTGCTCCCATCCTAACATTTAATCTTTACATTCGTGATGTGTATGCTGCTGGTACTTTTATTAATGCACTTGCATTTAAATTACTTATGCCTGCTCTCACTGTTGCTGGGTAGATACGAACTGTCAGTCACCTGCGGCGCATACCTTGGCCTGTGGAATGTATACGGGTATGTGCTGTACACTTCTGGAAGAAAAGGCATATTACGACGTACCCCATGACAGAATTTTCACCTTATTCATCTCATGACCAGGCGGTCATATTCTTCATAGCCATTACCTTCAATACCAGTACACACAGTTTTTAAGAGGCGATCACGAAAACTCCCACGCGTAGACAGCTAGATATGTATAGATAAAAATGCTTGAAGTACATTTGGTTGGCTAAGAAATGCGTCACGTTTGAAGGAACCAACAACTGGTCAGAAAGCGTGATTAGATCCTAGTAGAAATGAAAAGATAAAATGTAGTCGCAGGTTCTAGCATTCTTTTCGCATTACGAGTAGCATTTATATCTTAAAATAATACTTAAAATTAACAATAACCCTCAGGAGGCGCAGCCTAGCGGAAGAGAATTGAAGCTGGATGATGAAATATTGAATCTGTCATTTTGCTATACGTAGGCGTGAAGCCTGATGCTGTCATGCGCACCAGTCCTCAAAACTGGAGTATCTACATTATTGTCCAGTCCCGTTCAATTATGTGCTGCTTACGACGTAAAAGGAATAGCACGGTGAAGAGCGACGCTGCCATCGCGGTTTCCAGTGGACCAAATTGAGCCGTGGCGCATGTGCAGCGAAGTACTGCGCTCGCACACAAACCGCCCGCGCTCACTGTTTGCAGAATGTTAGCATACTTCATATTCGCTGCAGACACGAAAACTTTGATTACAAATGTTTCGTGGCATTTTCCGCTTCGCCATTCCGTGATTAGACTCACTGACTGGTAAGCTTTCTGTACCACTAAAAAATAACACCATTAAAATTTGTTGTCGGTCCCTTTAGAAAGGCACTGATTGAAACCAGTCTCTTTCCTCCACAAACCTTCTCAATGTCTTGAAGACAACTTCAATAAAGACACTTTTCTTTAGAGAAATCACGCATGCTGCATGGACAGATAAACAATGAGCTGCTTTCAAATTACTAAGTGCATGCCGTCGCCTGTAAAGCCAAGACCAAGTGTTGCAGCGACGCAGTTACTTATAATGGGCATCTGCAAACGTGAAAGCTGTAGATCCTAGCTGACCAACGGGTAAATGTGAATGCTGCAACAATTATAGATAGAAACATGATGCTCGGTTATCTCGATCTCAATTTGTGGCACTGAATGTTGCCTGCCTTAATGTCTGCAATGCAGCGACTGAGAGAACAAAAAGAACATTGACAACAGAGTGGCATTCCCAGACACTCACTTTATTTCATCCCTCCATTTCAAAGACAAAACGAAAACATAATAAAGCCTGCAGACAAAACAAAAACATAATAAAGCCTGCTTAAGCAGGTTATCACACACACACACACACACACACACACACAATCATGCCCGCTCGTTTACGCTGTACATGTACAATGCGACCAGCAGCAATCGACCTGTTTTCCTCATGACATCTTTAACATATTCCCCTGGAATGATTACAGGGACACTTAGCAAGTGGAAGGAAACGAGCTCGATTGCAGGTCATGGAAAGACGCTCATGTTATACTAAACTCGCATACTCTTCACAATCATAGAAAAAGGGGAACAAAAAGTCTCTTGATCTGCGTCTTCACATTAGCAATGAGTCCTGGAAATCCAGAGCAGGGTCCCGAGAAGTCAAGAAAAAAAAAAAGACAAGATAAAAAAAGCTGTCCAATATGCTGCCTGAAAAATGACTTGATGCAACTGCATGTTTTTTTTGTTTTTTTTTTTTTGCAGGGCATCGTCGGCGTCTGTGGCACAGCAGCTACAGCCGCGGCGGCGGCGTGGTCCGGATCCATTAGCGGGCCGGAGGAAAGTGCAAGTGCCTTGAGGCCCCACGGAGGGTACCCATTTCTTCTTCCAGAGGCGCACGCAGATGGCGCCCATCGGGGGGGAATGTCTAGCAAGCACGAAGTTAAGAGGGAGGAGCAGAGGATATGATGCATACACACGCGTGATCACAAGAAGGAATAAAACCTAGGAAGCGTCAGCTGGTGGTTGAGGCTGCGGCGGTGGTGGTGACAACTGTGGTGAAGACGACGTCCTGGGTGGTGATTGCGGCTGTGGCTGTGGTTGTGCTTGCGCCTGCGGCTGCGGCTGCTGCTCCGGCTGCTGGTGCATGGCAGCCATCCAGGCTCGGTGCTCCTCCTGATAGCCCCGCAGCGGAATCACGAACACACTGATGTCGTCAATGGTGGCCGCCCGGTTGTCGACTGTCCGCCAGCTCCGCTCCTTGAGCTTGCCTCGGGAGTGCATCACGAGGTCCTGGGCGGCCGAGATGTACCTGCGTAGCCCGCATGCACACGGAGCGTTCACAGACTGCTCTGCTGTATGAGACCAGCAACTCCTAGTCCCTCGGACTTGGCTTTGTGGTCTCGGGCGGCGCGACCAGCACCGCACCGACATTGACGACACGATGAAGACGATGACGACGTGGACCAGACCGAACGTACTGAGGGTGGGGGGGCAACGAAATCGCACAACCCCCATCTTCCACTTTCCTCTTCTATCTCCATTCCTTACCCTTTACTCCCACTGAAACAGTCACAGCTGCTAATCTGTGTTGTACGCTCAAACATTATGTGAATGCGTTTACTCTTAACAAATGCCAGGACAGCCATGGACATTACTTATTCTTTACAAAAAAGAAAATATGCTGTGGTTGCTTGCCTACTCCCTATATTGTGTTCTTTGAAGTGTTTCCTGTAAGTCCTCTGTTATACTGGTTGCTACTAAACATGATAAATGATGATACTTTGCAAAAATATTCAACTTCGCAGCATTTGAGTATGAAGCGATGCATAATTGTATATTTCAGGCATACTGCTAGAGTTATTCTGTAAAATTTCAATTGATTACATTTAACTTCCATGATGGATGCTTCTCAAGGGCAGTAAAAATTTAATGCACGTTGCATTAACCTAGTTTGTGTATTTGTCAAAATTGTAAATACTTTCCGTCCACCACTGATTTACAAACATTATTCTTGAATATTACCCATTCAATTAGCTAAGATAAGAACACACACACACAAGAAAGCATTTTTTTTTCAATTAGGTCAATGTTGGTTCTAAATACGGGAAGTTTCTTATGAATGTGGCCTGGGTTGCACGAGATGGTATGGATCGACACAATCATCATTCGCATAACACTTTTTTTTGCTTTCAAAACCAAGTCAGCGTGCATGTCCTCGATTGACATGCATCAGGCAAGCTCCGCTTACAATAATCCACGATGCCTCCACATCCCTCTACGCTTTACTGACTGTACAAACTTTGGCCTGCCTACTTCGACATAGTAAAAGAAGGGCTCTCACAATATTGGTCTTAAAATGGCCTTTCGGATGCATTCACTTCTCCGAGACGGGCCAATGCTCATCACCCACGTAGGTAGACCTTGAGCAAACTTTTGAGGACTAGATGACCCCTTTTCCTCTCTCTACTGATCCCCATGCGCTATGTGGTAACCGTACTGCAGCCCGTTCGAAACGGCGATACGCATTATGCATGTACAGAAACGAATATGTGCCGAGCATACTGGGTTGTAGTGGTACACGAAATTATTCGCTCGCTCCTTTTGACGGCCGCTCATATCAAACGAAGGTACTGCCTCTTCCAGTGCATCAGCGCGCCTTCGGTTTTTTTGCTGCAGCGAGTACGAGATTGGCTACCTCAACTTGTATTCCGTGGTGGTAAGCCAGAAACTACTATATAGCCTGTATAATACTAACAACAAATGAAAGAAATTCTTTTTCTGCCGTTTTGTTGCTCCCGCCTTGGGTGAATACAACACTGTTGCTGCGTCGTCTTTTTCTTCTGAAAAATAAAAAAATAATACGGTAGCACATGTGCCCTCCCCATCTGTCTGGTGTGTCCCAAACTGTCTGCATGTTTCTGTCCCCATGTACATAAACCTCTAATTTTCAAGCTCCTACAAGGCATGCCGACATAGAAGAAGTTGAGGTTTCAATTGTGGCCGTGGCAACCACATCTCATTTAGGTCAGAAAGCGATAGAGCACAAGGTTTATAGGAGCACCTTAAAAATTTGAGGAGTCCTTCACTACACCACGGAGTGCCTCCTAATCAGACCATGCTGTAAGCATGTAATAACCCTGAATTATAAATTTTTTTACACCGGAAAAGCTCCCCAACATTCCCCGAAATTGGCACACATATTGTACTGGTTCCCAAAATATCAGTTTGATTTGTCCATTTCTAGCCGAACATTACATACAGTTAAATATATTACGAAAAATAACACTATATGTATTCAGAATATTACGGAATATACGTAATATGAAATAATATATACAGTACATGCAATAAACAAAATAGTACAGAATATTGATCAAAACGAAGTCATTCACTTAAAGTATGTGAACAATTTTTTTTTTAACTTTCAAAAGGCAATGCAGAAGGCACTGTAAGCACAAAATACTCCTACTGAATACCTTTGACTATGGCTGATAAACCAAACTCTAGCGTGGATAATTAAAACATTGTCTTGGGACACTATGCATACTACAATACGTTGAAATGCATGCAGCTTGGAGCTTGAAAGTTAGAGCATTCACATGTTTTCTTCAGCTTCAAAAAGGTATAGCAATTTTAGTAGGGGGCAAACAACGTGGTTCACTATATCAAACAAAAACTAAATGTTGTGCGAAGATGCTGATGACAGTGATGCAACTGAGGTTGTGTGATGTTGCGCCGAGCGCATATTTTAAGGCCTCTCCGTTTTGCCAGCTCGTTCTTTGTTCTGCTTGAGTTTGCGCCGCGTCTGGTGCTGTAGTCCAACACCTTGGAGCACAGGACAGAGCGCGCAATAGCCCTCGGAAAACAATTTATCGCAAGAAAACAAAATGGCTGCCTTAATGTTGCAACGAAGTTAGCTATAGTTACCTGGTTGTGAATGCAATTCAGTTGTACTAATCAAACCTGTACAGCTATCCTTACCGACCAAATGTAACTAGGTCACTTTCAATTTGCTTTATGAACACCCAGCGCCACCATCTAAAAATAATGCATTTAGTGTTGTAACCGGAGTACGACTACTCAGTCACTTCCCTAGTTTTCCGATGACTTAGCGCATATAAATCATTTTCTTTCTCCACACACTTTAGAAAGCAATCAATCGACTGCAATGAATACTACAGAGGAGCAAAGTAGCGAATGCTACTAACGAAAAAATTTGCCTGACCTTGACATCAAGCCTATGGTATTCCTTCGGGCTGGAGTATTGTTGGTAATGTACGGGTCAAAATATCAGACGATAGACATCACAGGTTTAAAATAACAGCACGCTTAACTGCAGCAAAGCAGCTCGGCACTCGATTTAAAAGCCTTTTTGTTACCAGGAAAGGAGCCAAGGTGAAGTGCAGTAAAAAACATGCATTTTTCCATGCATCTGTTGTTTCTTCCTCACTAAACGACAGTCGTTAACAGCAACCAGCGTGTTAATGAGACTGCGGCTGTCATGGAAAATCGGTAGACTTAAATACATGTACCGCGAATATGTGGTTGCCTTAGGTACTCCACGGCAACCTCATTTTAACTGTGTATGCATTTCGGATCAGCTCAAAATAGAGCGCTTTTGTTTTTGGCAAAGCATGGCGGCTACGTGTCCATAAAAACTTGTCTTCATTTGTGATCTTTTTGTTAGTAAACTACTTTAAAAGTGCTGTGTGGTGTTCTGGATGCTGCTCATTTTCAGTGTGCAGAAAAAAATAAGAGGCTTCAGTCGTTCTGGTGGCTCGAAAAGGTTGGGCAAGAAAGGATGTTGAAGAACGAAGGTGCTGAATTGACCCTGGGCAGAACCAAAAGATGAAGAGATGCTGGAAGTGAAAACACCCCCATGTCAACAAATGTTGCATATGCTCATATGATCTCTGTAGATGCTGCAGTAACTACAAGTAAATGCATGACATGTTTGCTCATAAATGCGTCGTTTTTTTTTTCCCAACCATTGCACTTAACATTCTAAAGGGACACATTAGATCAGTTCAGATTGATAGGATTTTGCTCTCGGAACTCTGGGGCCGCTAATTTCAAGAGTGCATCAGTACACTCCATACAAGTTTTTTTCTGGTCTGGCTGCCACTGATGCGTAACTACGCATATTTTCATGCTTCTCGAATCTTTATTCTAGCCATAAGAGCTTTTTGTATCTCATCAGAAATCTGTGGTGCTTTTGGTTATTGCGATTTTTGTCATAATCTTACAATATTCTGTGAAGATTTTTTCTGCTTTGGTGTACCCAGTTTTGATTGCTTTTGTCCTGCTGAAAAGCAGTGTTTAGTGAATGCAATAGTGTACCAAATTTCTCATTGAAAATAATATATATATTTTTAGACTAAAATAATATATATATTTTTAGACTGGGTGAAATAATAGATGTGCTTTTTCTTAATCATTAAAATGAGAATTTACAACTTTCATAACATTTCTTTTACAGAAACTAGAACCATATAATTATCCTGGCTGGACTGTTTGACATCAGTGAAATCCAATGGCATTTCATTTAGTGATACCAAATAGCCAGATGATTAACAATGCGCTCAAATCAAGTTGTCATGAATTATTGGTTTAGAAATTAATGGCACAGTGTACACAAAAACTGAGCTCATATTTGATGTGAGTGCATGAAGGTACACAATCACAAAATTTTTTATTATCCTACCTTAAATAAAATAATAAAGCACCTTATATAAAAAAATCTTTGCCCCCTAAGGCAATACCATCGTCACCATTCGCCCCCTTCCCTGGGTGTCAAACGAAACTGTAGTTGACGAAATGACACCTAGCTGGAAGCACCTTACATCCTCAAGGCTCTTCCTCCTAGTCAGAGAGAACATAGAGTTTCCTCCTAATAATACGCTAGAGAGTTTGGTGCCATTGTCTACGAGAGCTGCAACGCATGGCGCTTCAGCCAGCATTGGAAGGGATAGATAGTACACGAATTTGTCTAATCTTCGTTCTTTGGACTCCGTTAGGCTCCGTTCAACAAATGCTCAACAGTCCCACTTTATGACCTTGAGCTTACCAATTCAAATCGGGTCCCAAAGTTTATGACAATCCATACTTTTATCAGAAACAAATGCCAATACACAACCATAAACAAAGCCACAAACATGATTAGGCAAATCCGTGTAGCACCTGTCATTTCCGTGGTGGCCGAACGACCGCAACATCTGAGTTCCCTTTAGTAAATATTGTAGGAAACTCTATGGGACAGACCTCTGCTGAAGATGTTTACATGTAACTGTCAACAATGTATTGTCTCCGTTGCTCGAAGTGAACAATGTTATCTCTTCCAACAAACATTCCTACAGCGCAATTACCGATCACCTGTTGCCTGTTTGCTGGCAGCACGTTACGCCACTTTTGCTTTATGAAAATCAATCAGAAATTCCAACAAAAGGGGGTGCAATGTTTTATGTAGTGAATAACCAGGCCTTAACAAAGGTGTACAGCTCATTTCGTACTTAACTGTGGAAGACAATCAAGATTATTTATTTATTTTACCCTAAGGGCCAAATGGCATAACACCATGCAGTCATAAAATACTCATTCCACATGCTTTGCAGTACAGTTATTTTGTTGATATACACTCAAACCTCATTATAACAAACTTGCATCTTACATAAAAATACGTTCATTATATCCAAAAATTCGTTACAAATGTTTATTTTTAAAACTAAATTTATTGCAATACTATTTTTCATTTATTTCATTATAACCGTCATTTTGCTATATCCAGTTTCGTTATAACGAGCTTTGAGTGTTACAATGCTTTTTACTGAGTAACTGCGGTAAAGTTGTCAGTAAAGCCACAGTAGGACATTGCCTACTCACCTGAACTTGAAACGTTGAGTGTCGCTAGCAGGAAAGTGGTCAAGCGACTTGAGCACAATCTGAGCTGCTCTGTCATTGGGCAGCACATCCCACAGGCCGTCGGTGCCCATGACAAGCACGTCACCATCCGTAAGTTCCTCCCCGCAGACGTCGAAGATGCGAACCTACACGGGTGTGAGGTCAATGCACTTACTACGTGGAGACATGAACATACTGCATGGGAAATCACTGTATAATCACATGGTTTCTGTATAATGCACACAATTGGGGCGCTTTGAAAAGTAGTCGGCTCATTTCTGCGATGGTGCTTGTTTTTGTTTGACCGCCTCGCGCACTTTTGCGTTGATTTCGTGTAACGCGTGTCTTTCGACGGTCAATTTTTTTTTTTTACACTAGGAAATTTAAATGGTTGTAAGCACCACGCGTCGCATGCTTCGATTCTAGGACCTGCGAGAATGCATGCTAAACACGTTTGGTGCAAGTGCAGCCCTAGAAAAGGCTGTTTTGGTTATAATGCGGTACCACTTATAGTGCGGATATTTGCAACTCGCATTATAAGCGGTCTATAATGTATAAACTTTGCCGTATAATTCTTTTTTTGTAGCCAGCAGTGCACCTATTATTTTGAGTGTGCTGCATCCTTTCTGACACAGCGCAACATTTGGTTATCAGGCCATTTTCCTTTCTCATTCGGTGGGCCCGCCGTAAACGGTTCAACTTCCGCCAGATGAACAAGCTTAGCGTCAATCCAGCGTGCAATGTGTCGGCGATGTTTGTCAAGTCTGCATGTTTACCTCGGGCTCTGGAGTCAGGAATGGCTTGATGTCCACATTGCTGCTTTGCGCCTTGAGGTCATGATCTCCAAAGCCTCTGGTCACTCCGATGGTAGCCAGGACACGACTCTGCAGGGTAAAAGAATGTCAGCATGATTTATACTTCGACTACACTATTTGAAAAGTAAATAGATAATAAAAACTTTGGGAAAAATTTTGGTTACTGTGAAGAAAGCCGCAGAAACCCTCGTCACCTTTAAGGAAAATTTTTTTTTGATACTGCAGACAGCATGCGAGCAGCTGTGTACTTTGACAAGCTCAGCGAAATTTTGTCTGCGCGAAATTCCGCTAGAAAACAGACGAGCATCCGAGATTACCTTGTGAAGTAAAGGTACGTTGACAAAAACTCTTGAAATTATTGTGTTCGTTTCGACCATTCTATAATTCGAACATTTGGCTAATTCTGACATTTTTTTTTTCCTGTCCGTAGAAATCTGAATGAACAAGCTTTTACTGTGGTTGCTGGCGTGGAAATCCTCATTTGCGGCCACTTTATTTTCTTTTTCTCTCCGAGTGTTTTCGCGGAAAATTTTCCCCGTGTAATTCTCGCACCTCCCCAACTTTTCATCAGTTTTCTGCAAAAAAAGTGTGAGGTTTATGCAAGTAAATATGGTAGTTGATTTCAGATATTTTAGGACATCAGCACAGCAACAATGACAATTAAAATGAAATCATATGGGATCAACATAAACGACAAACTTACCCTCTTGCCTTCTCCATAAATAAGCGGAAATCGGAGGTCATCGGTTGTCACCGTCCTGTACGCCCTGCACATACAGTGTCAAAAAGAGTCTAGGCTAAGTGCATTAAAAGAAATGGCAGAAGATACATTAGTAAGGAATTGCAGCACCTTTATTTTGATTCTATAACAGTATTATATTGACGGAAAAAAAAGAGTGGAGTAAACAGGAGTTAATTTTGTTTTAACAGCAGCAGTGCAGCTCCTGCAGTTGCCAGTATCCACTGCTGTTTGTTATAGCCCCAATCTGTTTCGACTAACTTTCGTGTTTCACATGATGGCGAAGTAAAACAATAAATGCCAGTATCAAGTCATTGGTGGCCAGACCGCAAAACAGCCATGAAGTAACACTCATCCCTTCATCATCATCATCATCATCAGCCTGACTACGTCCACTGCAGGACAAAGGCCTCTCCCATGTTCCGCCAGTTAACCCGGTCCTGTGCTTGCTGCTGCCAATTTATACCCGCAAACTTCTTAATCTCATCTGCCCGCCTAATCTTCTGTTTCCCCCTAACCCGCTTGCCTTCTCTAGAAATCCAGTTAGTTACCCTTAATGACCAGCGGTTATCCTGTCTACGCGCTACATGCCCGGCCCATGTCCATTTCCTCTTTATTTCAACTATGACATCCTTAACCCCCGTTTGTCCTCTAATCCACTCTGCTCTCTTCTTGCCTCTTAAGGTTAAACCATTTTTCTTTCAATTGCTCGCTGCGTCATCCTCAATTTAGGCTGAACCCTCTTTGTAAGTCTCCAGGTTTCTGCTCCGTAGCTAAGTACCAGCAAGATACAGCAGTTATATACTTTCCTCTTGAGGGATAGTGGCAATCTACCTGTCATAATTTGAGAGTGCTTGCCGAATGTGCTCCACCCCATTCTTATTCTTCTAGTTACTTCAACCTCGTGGTTCGGCTCTGCGGTTATTACCTGCCCTAAGTAGACGTAGTCTTTTACAACTTGAAGTGCACTATTACCTATCTCGAAGCGCTGTTCTTTTCCGAGGTTGTTGTACATTACTTTCGTTTTCTGCAGATTAATTTTGAGACCCACCTTTCTGCTCTCCTTGTCTAACTCTGTAATCATGAGTTGCAATTCGTCCCCTGAGTTACTCAGCAATGCAATGTCATCGGCGAAGCGCAGGTTACTAAGGTACTCTCCATTAACTCTTATCCCTAACTGTTCCCATTCTAGGCTTCTGAAAACCTCCTGTAAGCACGCGGTAAATAGCATTGCGGAGATTGTGTCCCCCTGCCTTACACCCTTCTTGATTGGTATTCTGTTGCTTTCTTTATGAAGCACTATGGTAGCAGTTGATCCCCTGTAGATTTCTTCCAGAATGTTTATATATACTTCATCTACGCCCTGATTCCGCAGTGTTTGCATGACGGCTGATATTTCTACTGAATCAAACGCCTTCTCGTAATCTATGAAGGCTATGTATAGTGGTTGGTTATATTCTGAGCATTTCTCTATTACCTGATTGATAGTATGAATGTGGTCAATTGTTGAGTAGCCTGTTCGAAATCCTGCTTGTTCCTTTGGTTGATTGAATTCTAATGTTTTCTTTACTCTGTTAGCAATTACCTTTGTAAATAGCTTGTATACTACAGAGAGCAAGCTGATCGGCCTGTAGCTCTTCAAGTTCTTGTCATCTCCTTTCTTATGTATTAACATGATGTTAGCGTTCTTCCAAGACTCTGGTACTCTTCCCGTCAGGAGACACCTCGTAAACAGGGTGGCTAGTTTTTCTAACACAATCTGTCCTCCATCTTTCAGCAGATCTGATGTTACCTGATCCTCACCAGCAGCTTTGCCCCTTTGCATGCTCTCCAAAGCTTTTCTGACTTCTTCTATAATTACTGGTGGGGTGTAATCTGGGTTACTGCTAGTTCTTATAGTATTAAGGTCGTGGTTGTCTCGGCTACTGTACAGATCTCTGTAAAACTCCTCCTTTATTTTAACTATCCTATCCATATTGGTAATTGATTTGCCTTCTTTGTCCCTTAGTGCATACATCCGACTTTTGCCTATCCCAAGTTTCCTTTTCACTGCTTTGACGCTTCCTCCGTTTTTCAGAGCGTGTTCAATTCTCTCCATGTTATACCTTCTTACATCGCATACCTTACGCCTATTAATCAACTTCGAAAGCTCTGCCAGTGCTATTTTGTCTGTTGTACTCGAGACTTTCATGATTTGACGCTTCTTAATTAGATTCTTCGTTTCCTGGGAAAGCTTGCCAGTCTCCTGTCTAACTACCCTGCCTCCAACTTCCACTGCACACTCCGTAATGATACTCTTCAGATAATCATTCATTGCATGTACGCTAAGATTGGTTTCCTCACTAAGATCCGAGTACCTGTTCTGAAGCGATACTCTGAATTCTTGTACTTTCCCTCTCAGTGCTAGCTCATTGACTGGCTTCTTGGGTATCAGTTTCTGTCGTTCCTTCTTCAAGTCTAGGCGAATTCGAGACCGTACCATTCTATGGTCACTGCATCGTACCTTGCCAACCACTTCCACATCCTGCACGATTCCTGGGTGTGCAGTCATTATAAGGTCTATTTCGTTCTTATTTTCGCCATTAGGGCTCCTCCATGTCGACTTGGGGATTTCTTGTTTTCGGTAGAAGGTATTCAAAATCCGTAAATTATTGCGTTCTGCGAATTCTACTAGTAGCTCTCCTCTGGCGTTTTTAGTACCGATGCCATAATCTTCCACTGCTTCTTCCCTACTTTTGCATTAAAGTTGCCCATCACTATAGTATACTGTGTTTTTGCCTTACTCATTGCCGATTCTACGTCTTCATAGAAGCTTTCAATTGAAGCGTCATCATGGCTGGATGTAGTGCGTAAGCCTGTACCACCTTCATCTTGTATCTTTTATTCAGTTTAATTACGATACCTACCACCCTTTCATTAATGCTATAGTATTCCTCTATGTTGCCAGCTATGTTTCTGTGAATTAGAAACCCCGCTCCCAGTTCTCTTCTGTCTGCCAAGCCCTGATAGCAAAGGACGTGCCCATTCTGTAGCACTGATTGATATGTGGGGTTTAACGTCCCAAAACCACTATATGATTATGAGAGACGCCGTAGTGGAGGGCTTCGGAAACTTAGACCACCTGGGGTTCTTTCATCATCATCATCATCAGCCTGACTACGTCCACTGCAGGACAAAGGCCTCTCCCATGTTCCGCCAGTTAACCCGGTCCTGTGCTTGCTGCTGCCAATTTATACCCGCAAACTTCTTAATCTCATCTGCCCACCTAACCTTCTGTCTCCCCCTAACCCGCTTTCCTTCTCTGGGAATCCAGTCAGTTACCCTTAATGACCAGCGGTTATCCTGTCTACGCGCTACATGCCCAGCCCATGTCCATTTCTTCTTCTTGATTTCAGCTATGATATCCTTAACCCCCGTTTGTTCCCTAATCCACTCTGCTCTCTTCTTGTCTCTTAAGGTTACACCTACCATTTTTCTTTCCATTGCTCGCTGCGTTGTCCTCAATTTAAGCTGAACCCTCTTTGTAAGTCTCCAGGTTTCTGCTCAGGTTTCTGCAGAACGCAATAATTTACGGATTTTGAATACCTTCTACCGAAAACGAGAAAACCGCAAGTGGACATGGAGGAGCCCTAATGGCGAAAATAAGAACGAAATAGACTTTATAATGAGTGCACACCCTGGAATCGTGCAGGATGTGGAAGTGATTGGCAAGGTACGATGCAGTGACCATAGAATGGTACGGTCTCGAATCCGCCTAGACTTGAAGAAGGAACGACAGAAACTGATACGCAAGAAGCCAATCAATCAGCTAGCACTGAGAGGGAAAGTACAGGAATTCAGAGTGTCGCTGCAGAACAGGTACTCGGCTCTTAGTGAGGAAACCAACCTTAGCGTAGATACAATGAATGATAATCTGACGAGTATCATTACGGAGTGTGCAGTGTAATTTGGAGGCAGGGTAGTTAGACAGGACACTGGCAAGCTTTCCCAGGAAACGAAGAACCTAATTAAGAAGCGTCAAATCATGAAAGTGTCGAGTACAACAGACAAAATAGAACTGGCAGAGCTGTCAAAGTTGATTAATAGGCGTAAGGTATGCGATGTAAGAAGGTATAACATGGAGAGAATTGAACACGTTCTGAAAAACGGAGGAAGTGTCAAAGCATTGAAGAGGAAACTTGGGACAGGCAAAAGTCGGATGTATGCACTAAGGGACAAAGAAGGCAAAATAACTACCAATATGGATAGGATAGTTAAAATAGCGGAGGAGTTTTACAGAGATCTGTACAGTAGCCGAGACAACCACGACCTTAATACTATAAGAACTAGCAGTAACCCAGATTACACCCCACCAGTAATTTTAGAAGAAGTCAGAAAAGCTTTGGAGAGCATGCAAAGGGGCAAAGCTGCTGGTGAGGATCAGGTAACATCAGATCTGCTGAAAGATGGAGGACAGATTGTGTTAGAAAAACTAGCCACCCTGTTTACGAGGTGTCTCCTGACGGGAAGAGTACCAGAGTCTTGGAAGAACGCTAACATCATGTTAATACATAAGAAAGGAGATGACAAGAACTTGAAGAACTACAGGCCGATCAGCTTGCTCTCTGTAGTATACAAGCTATTTACAAAGGTAATTGCTAACAGAGTAAAGAAAACATTAGAATTCAATCAACCAAAGGAACAAGCAGGATTTCGAACAGGCTACTCAACAATTGACCACATTCATACTATCAATCAGGTAATAGAGAAATGCTCAGAGTATAACCAACCACTATACATAGCCTTCATAGATTACGAGAAGGCGTTTGATTCAGTAGAAATATCAGCCGTCATGCAAACACTGCGGAATCAGGGCGTAGATGAAGTATATATAAACATTCTGGAAGAAATCTACAGGGGATCAACTGCTACCATAGTGCTTCATAAAGAAAGCAACAGAATACCAATCAAGAAGGGTGTAAGGCAGGGGGACACAATTTCCCCAATGCTATTTACCGCGTGCTTACAGGAGGTTTTCAGAAGCCTAGGATGGGAACAGTTAGGGATAAGAGTCAATGGAGAATACCTTAGTAACCTGCGCTTCGCCGATGACATTGCATTGCTGAGTAACTCGGGGGACGAATTGCAACTCATGATTACGGAGTTAGACAAGGAGAGCAGAAAGGTGGGTCTTAAAATTAATCTGCTGAAAACGAAAGTAATGTACAACAACCTCGGCAAGGAGCAGCGCTTCGAGATAGGTAATAGTGCACTTGAAGTTGTAAAAGACTATGTCTACTTAGGGCAGGTAATAACCGCAGAGCCGAACCACGAGATTGAAGTAACTAGAAGAATAAGAATGGGGTGGAGCACATTCGGCAAGCACTCTCAAATTATGACAGGTAGATTGCCACTATCCCTCAAGAGGAAGGTATATAACAGCTGTATCTTGCCGGTACTTAGCTACGGAGCAGAAACCTGGAGACTTACAAAGGGGTTCTTTAACGTGCACCCAAATCTGAGCACACGGGCCTACAACATTTCCGCCTCCATCGGAAATGCAGCCGCCGCAGCCGGGATTCGAACCCGCGCCCTGCGGGTCAGCAGCCGAGTACCTTAGCCACTAGACCACCGCGGCGGGGCCCCATTCTGTAGCACTGTATAGGCCTCATCTGTCCTCCTGGCCTCACTGAGCCCTATTATATCCCATTCAACACCCTCTAGCTCCTCGAATAGTACAGCTAGACTTCCCTCACTAGATAAGGTTCTAGCATTAAATGTTGCCAAGTTCAGGTTTCAATGGCGGCCTGTCCGCCATTCCTTCATACCCTGATCCAAGTACATAAAGAATGGAGCCACCTTCTAACTTGCATTGTTGATGACAATTAAGTATTATCAAGACGGTTGCAGCCCAGAGTACTTACGGGACTATTATTGCGATATTGATCACAGGATGAAAGGAATGTTTGCTGCCGCTGTAGCGATAGAGTCATCAATTCACTAACTTCATCATTACATTCCTGATGATGATAACTGATGAATATCATTTAACCCTTTACAAGTCAAAGACGTACATGTACATCATCTGCTAACAAGCAAGAAATGGTCAGACTCTCACCCATGCACATCATTGCCAGTATGTTTAAAGCACACCCCTTTTTCGATCACTTCTCTTTTCTGGCATGTGCTGCCACAATGCAGGAATAAGTGAAATTTGCAATTTGCTTCTTGCGCTGTAGTGACACGTATCCCGAAGGAGTGCGGCCACTAGAGTGGGTCCGGCTTTAGCGAGCCGCAGGTCACGCGTTAACCGTTGCTGTGGCGAGAACACGATACTGTTCAAGATCACAACACTTTAATGTCTGTGGCAACACCAAACGCAGTACAGCCCTTTGCAAAGGCGCGGCGGGAAGGCAAATGGTCTTATCCACGCCACGGGCGTACAAGTACTACACAGGGTGCCAGGAGCATGTCTCCGTGGAAAAGGTGATTCACGGAGACACCAGAACCAAGGCCCGGTTGCTTGAGCGAGGGCAAAGGCGCTCGCGTTGGCTTCAGAGGGAGACGGGTCGGCATAGCTTGGCCACGCACAAGGACACCATACCACCCTTCGGCCGTGCGTACACAGAGGGGCAACAAAAGGTGAGTGTCCGCCTCGAGCGCGAGGCGCCGTCAGCGAAGTCCGACGCGCCCCGAGCGACGGGAGTCGACGGACGGAAAAGATTGCGTGGCTCACTGTCAACTGTCCCGGAGAGTATCTGACCCGCTCCCGACACACGCGCGCAAGACCTCTCGGGACACCCCTGAGCGCGGCGCCACAGTCGACATCCACTACAGGGTGAGAGGGGTTAAACGTCACGCTTCTCTCCCAGCGCGGCAGACAGCCGAGGAGGGGAGTCATGTCGGAACATGAGAACGGCAGAAAAGGCAGCAAAGCCCGCGCAAAGGCAGCGGGCTAGCCTCAATTCCCACAGCGCTGATGTCTGAACATTTTCTTTTTGCTTTACTACAGAGGTGCACCGGCTAGTTTCGGTTTCGTTTTTCGGCTGGTTCTCACTTCGTTGCACCCGCACAACTGATGAGTTTTTAGTTTAGAATCTTTCAAAAGGTGACTATGTGAGTAAATACGGTACGTTAAAGCAAAGGAAAAAACAGACACCTCTAATACAGTTGGTATTCCATTCATATGAACATATGATGGTCAGGTAATGAAAAACAAAGAAAATATTCTAGCTGACTATAAAGCAGGGCTTTTTGTAAATAGGGATTGCTATTTCCAGTTCCACCTGAGGTGGTGCTCAATTTGAAATGAATTGAACCTCCATCTAACAACATCAACATAGTATATCAGTTTAATTCTGTGACAACGAGCCAACTCACACAGGCTGTACGCGTAACCACTCAATTCAAACCACGAAGAATATGCTCACCAGCCTGTCATGAAGGCGTCCCGGCACAGCAGTCGCTTGCCCAGGTCAGCTCGCACGGGGCGTCGCACAAATTCCAGGTGAGTGAACTCGCTGCCCAGCAGCTCGGGGCACTGCATGCCCTGCAGACAAGATTGCTCGTGGTTCTAGCCTTTTCAGAGGCAACATATGAAAAACTGTCTGCAAGTGGGTCAAGTTTAGGCAATATTGTTTTAAGAGACTCGATATTCTATTACCACAAATATATATATCATCATAATACATGTGCTTTATAGTATTTAATATTAACTATACTTTAAGGAAAGATTTATTTATTCTGAAGAAGTTCGTGCTCTGTTCTTGCATAAGTAGAATCGAATCTCGGGCTAGAAATACAGTGGTACTGTTGTTATGGTTATTTTGGGCAGAGGAATAGTTAAACTTTTGACGTGGGCCATGGAAAGCATAATGTCAAACAGCTCGTGAAGCATAGTACTAGTGCTTTATGAAAAGTCATTATATATCCCCCAGTGCACCGTGAGATTAATGTCTGAAACATTACAAAGGCCAATGGTTCAACTTGGTTAGGGCGGGGTGCTGGAAACTAATGCTAACGTTGTTACAGTAGGCTTTATGTTAACACTTTCACCGATGTGCTGGCTAAAGGCAAGCACATATTCGTTTGAAAAAAGGTTATGCATTTGCACAAGAAAAAAAAAAAAAAGAAAAACTCTGAGAACTGTCAGGCCCTTTAAAACTTTGTTACCAAAATGAAGCCACGATTTTGTCGCTTATGCTGCAAGTGGCGTACAATGTCCCGACTTTCGCTTGCGAGACCCTTGGTGATTGGCTTCACATGAGCACATTTGTTGACACCGTCGCACCACACCACTCACTCAGAATTCAGCAGTTCAAACACTGCTGGCAATGGGTGCATGAAGATGTCTGGGTTCGGAGCACTCAAGATCTCGAAGCACAATATTACCGTTCTCAAATTAACCATATTGCGCGACCATTAGGTGGAAGAAACACTAGCTACCGTACGCCCCTCATCTGTTAGGAATGCTGAATTCCGGTAGCTTTCTTTCAATTTTAAACAAAACCTTTGATATTTATTATTCAATTCAATACTTTATATATTACTGACCACTATTCAGCACCATTCGATCCTAGAAGAAATTTCGCTATTCGCACACTCCTACCATTAAGACAAATCCACTCTTTAGGGTGCAGTCGTCGAACAAGAGTGTATTTCGTCCACGGTGTAAGAAAAGTAATTTGGGTGCGCACACTTCGCCAAGCTAATGTTCGCCTCTTTCCTCCTCATAGCCATTGCATCGCAGCGCCACCCCGCAACCGCGGCCGGCTCATGTACTATAGAAGACGAGTTGCGTGCATGGCATCCGTAACAGCGCTGTGCACGTGAGAATACAGTGTTTGAAGTATACTGTGTTTTTTCCCCCTCACACTGTGCAGCCAATTGCGGTGTTCGCCGCAAATGGCGTTTTTCAGTCGCGAGAAATAGCGAGAAAGGTGGTATGTGTTTCTAGAGTTGCTAGCGTGCACGGTTAAAAAATACCATGAGGTGAACAAAAAAAAGCGTGTTTGCCTCATTTCACTTAATTTCGTAAACCCCCATGTCACAGTGCTCCCCACAAAACTGCGGCCGGCGCATGTACTAAAGGCGAACATTATCTGGACATACTCTCGGTCACGGCGGGCAGAGAGTGTGCACGCTTAAATTATTTTTCTTACATCGTGCGTTTGTCACATAATGTGCATATCCAAATGCACGTCTTGAAATTATTGTGTTTATGAACACTACGCGACAGGTATTTCCGAGTAATCAACGGTGTACACTCTACAGTTGAGCCATGGCATTAGTGACAGGAACATGATGAGCGCTGGGTTTTCAAGAAAATAAATGCAAGCAAGTTGGAGGATGAGTTATTGTTATCAAACCAAAAAGACTCCTGAAAGGCCGTTTTTAGAGGACAGAGTGCGAGAAAACTGTAGTAGGGGGTGTATAAATGAAGTGACGCATTGGCCAGCAACAACGAAAACAACAATTAAGTTAATACATTTGTGATAAATCTTCAGCAGCGACAAAATAGCAAGTGTGTTGCCCTTATAAATGTTTTTGCGACACATACACTTGCAAGACAAAGAAGAAAATGCATCTACAGTGACGGAAGTGACAATTTCCTTTGTGGAGCAGATTCTGGAACAGAAAAAATGGTGCTTTGGAGCAGCCTTAAATGTCTTCGGAGCAGAAAAAATTTCTATAGCTCAGGGTTGCTATTGGCGTTTTTGGAGCAATGAAGGTTCCTAATAACTCCTGAAGTGTAAAACATCACCTAAGAATCTAATAAATATTTATATTTATTACTAAACAGGCTATGCGCAAGTATGCCGCTAGTATACAAGCAGTACAGTTGGAGTAAATCATAGGCAGGTTGGGGCGGGGGTCATGAGTGTCCAGACTTTTCTGGTGTTCAGGCTGGGGAGGACAACCATTGCAAGTGTCCCCCTTGAGATTTAGCTTTATCACGTGATATATTTGAGTTAACAGTCAAGTATAGCACAATCAACTTTTTAAAAGGCTTTATATCTTCATGAGTACCTGTGTTCAATGCCCCTCAGCTGTGTGAACTATGGATATTGAAAAAAGGTGAAAAAAAGAGACTAAATAGAACAATGCAATTGCTCGAGCTCTGACCCCATGCTCATTTTTTTAAATTTTATTTGAAAGCATGATTGAATTCCTATATAAATCAAAATACAATCAATACTGGAACAATGAATTGGACACCATGGCCTGATATGTGTCATCCCTTGAGGTTTTTCTGGATTTGCGTCACTGAGTTGCACAGTAGGATGATAGTGTATATGGCTTGCTATTGGTTTCGCCTATGCTCATGGGATGGCCCCATGGCTCAACTTCATTTTTTTTAGTTTGCTACACCATTTTGGAGCAGGTCTGGAGGAGCTACAAGTAAATATTGCACTTTGGAGCAGCATTTCTCTTTTGGAGCAGTTTGGAGCTATTAGAGCAGCACTTCCATCACTGCATCTATAACTACAGTTTAACTCTTTTACAAGGGACATGCACTGGCAGCGACTTTTGTCTTCTGTATGAGGTGTCTCTTAAAAGTAGGGTACAACATGTGCACTTTCTTTTCAACACCTATTTCAATACTTCCATATCGGTGTCTTTTATACTAATTTGTCTCGTAGATCAGTGCCTCTTATAAAGGGGTTCAACTGTATAGCTAGGCTAAGCTCCACAATAAGTCATCATGTCGATCCCGTAAGCCGGCACTGAGCAAAAGTCAGTGCATAGCAAGGAATTAAGAACGTGCTGAGAGTATCTGCCACCACACATGCGTGCCCTGCAGAGAAGCTGGCTTGTTGCAGTTGTAAGGAGGGAAAATGCAAAGAACGTACGGACGCTCACATCATGGGAGTTGGGCAGGTAGAAGCTCAAGAGGAAGAGTGAAACGATTCAGAAAGAGTACATTAAAGTGGCCATAGAGAAGGCGGATAAAAGGAACTAATACACAACTGCCATGTACGACCACGCAATCTCGACTGCACAAACACAGCTGCACTTGCAGCTGGCTGAGAGTGTAGCACGAGTTTCTGTTAGGGACTCTCGGTGAAGCTTGGCTGGCAAAAGAAACAGCCTCTGTGTAAATCTACACATACACAGCCATGACCTGCATAAACATGAAATCACTGCTGGATTATGCACTGTGTACCAAAACACAGTTATAAGGTCAAAGCAGCAGCTGGGGTTGAAATGGTCCTACTGATTCCTTAACTTTCCGCACAAGGTTTCTTTACTGTGCATGGCTAGTGAGAAAAAGTGCTAAAGATAAAACTGAAACAATAGGCTTTGCACTTGTATAAATAAACCTTATCTTAGCACTTACAGCAACCTGCCATCACGAATATTTAGGTTCATTTCGACACATTTTCTGACATAAGAACACATTTTACGCTGAATACTGTTCTCACTTCCTGACCAGAAGGCGAGACCTCCAGTAAACCTTAGTATTTCTATTGCATCTGTCTCTCTCTCTCTATTTTTAACATTGCTTTGAATTTGGTTCCTTGTAGATTACACATTGGTAATTATGAGCCCGAGTTACAGACATTTTTTTGCTATCCTTGTTTTCTTATTGCAAACTTTTTTTTATTTTTTGACAATTGTGAGCTTTGCGTTTCCATTTATTTTTATTTGTATTGCTATTTGACAAGCATCTTGTTACTGCAAACTCTGTGGCTGTCGTGTGTCAGTTTCTCTTTTTGATCTATGATGTCCCCCATACTCAATGCTCTCCATGGAGCCTGTAAGGTGCTGCTTGCAAATAAACAAACCGTAGGTGAACGAATTTCAGTGAGGTACGTGCTTCCAAGAGGAGCAACCTGGGATGATACGGAATGCCAGTGAAGCAACATTTGTCTGTATTTATTTAGATGATATCTTATCTTCTGCTTACTGGGTCAAGATGACAATAGGCCATCATGTTAAGCTGAGACAACAACCAAGAACTTTTCTTTGTTATTCTGTCTGAAAATTTCGGGTTGAGCACACACACTACAGTGATGTAAACAGAACACCTTCAGAGTCAATTATTCTGCCTTACAATGCATCACACGAAGATTCGTACTAGCTTTGGCATTCTAACCAACATAGCGGCAAAACTACTTCATTTATGCTGCGTAGAAAAGCCACAAGCAACCAACGAGCTGCCGTGCTACATATACAAACGAGCGATAAATTTTCGACTCTCTACGCTGCACACCAGATTTTCGCTTTTATTAGCTGGGAACACCAGTTGAATGTTTTTCTATACATGCATCCGCACATAACTTTTGTCTATTCTGTACAAGCACAGACCAACAATGTAACACACTTTAAAGCCATCAATTCCATCATTGTCCAACGCAACTATCCTAGCTTTCATTTTTCTTTCCTGTTACAAAAAAATGTGCTGTTAGCTCTTGATTGTTAGCCAAGGCAATGTCTCGCGCATGGCAACATCAGGATCTCACCAAGATGGACGACTCACCAAATGCTTGATCCGGGACCTCTCCGTCTCGGGCGTGAAGTCGCAAGACATGGGGATCACCTGCTCCCCACGACAGATGATAGCCCTGCGTGTGCACGAGTCAAGCACGTGTAGGGATGTTAGGGTTCACAGTAGGATTAACCGCTATTTGGAACAGTTATCAGAATGGCAGGCTGTAACAACAACAAGGAACTGCATACGTAGCAAGTATTTCATGCTCTCCGAGTGCCTCTTTTAGGCCATCTACATAATTTATTTCACAATTCTGAAAACTTTATAGTTGTATTTTATTATTTTATTTATTAACCCTCAGAATCAAAGCAATGATTACAATAAAGGATAGAAAAAAAATTGTTTTTATCAAAAGGCTTCTTAGACAATTTTAGTAAGCTTTAACAAAAGCATATAATGTCTTCTTAGACAAGTGATAAAAAAAATGTACTAAGGTCACAAACATGTACCTAGTAATAAATCAAGTCCTGGACAACAGAACGCGCTTACATTACATATCCAAAGTAAAAACAAAAAAGGATTATACAATATTAGCTAAAGCTGCCCAAAACAAATGATTATCATGAGTTGATACGATATCATCAGGAAGGTGATTCCGTTTAGTAGATGACCGAATAGGTGACTGAAAGAAGGCTTTGGCGCAACACGTTTCCAGGCCAACCTTCTAACAATGGTCAATTTGAGGCGATGTTTATAGTTCTTAAGAAGTGTGCCCCTCCCGGAGTGTATGATGATGGAATAGTTTGTCAAGAAAAAAAAAAAAAACGGACGCGTGATTTTACAAGACAGTAACATTTGTGAAAGATTTGTTTTCATAGCAGTTTGATTGCCTTATGCAATTTGATTGTAGTTACACAATATAAAGCAAGCTGAATTATTTTGCACAAGTTCTAATGAATTTGAATGGTCTCAAAGAAAAAACAAACAATTTTCCTTCCTTTTCTGAAAAAAAAAGAGAAATAACTTCCCACTGTCCACCAAAATGTTTGCAGCAGGGCAATTAATTTTGCATGTTTTACATGGACATAATATGAAATGGCAATCAAAATATCTTGGCTATTTTGAGAATACACTGCGTCATGGTCAATACGCCATCAAGATGTAACTTGTACAAACGCTTCGTTTCAAAGCTGACACAGACGTTAGTGCGTGACAGAACAAGCATATCAGCTCAACGTTTTTCCCAAATGAGTCGCACCATCATAAAGGTGGAGAAGTGTGATGTGCAGCTTTCGTACAACAGTGACATGTGAACTGCACTCAAACTGAATATGAAAAAAATGAGACCTATTGTCTTGGAACAATGGACCTTTCCAACGAGGACAAAAGGTTAACTCTATCTGGACTGCTAACTGCAGGCACAACAAAGCACGCTTCCTGCCAATGTTTCTAGCATGTTTGAACAGTTTGTGAAAAGGTAAAAAAAATACAACAACACTGAGGACACACTTAACGGAAAGGTCAAAGTGCATTACCAAACAAAGCAACAGAATGCCCTCTGCATCCACTAAAAACAGCCTTGCGCATAACGCAAGGTATCACCGTACAACCTACCAAGTTACGACACCTCAGTGAAGAACATTTCCCTCCAATCCTATGAGAGCCCGATAACACGTAATCAGAAGCCTCGAGTCCAGTCTTGATGAGCTAATTCAACATATTTTTGCTAAAGACCGTGTGCATAAAATGTCACAAGTGCCATATTGACACTCTACGGCCACCTCTGAGCAAATACAGATAAGTTGTAGATAGGCTGACAATATTAACAAAAATTCTTTGACGAAATCTTCTTGTAGATGGCACAGGTTGCCTGAAGGGGCAAACTCAACTGTGTGGTGTTCACTACAGGGCGTGACACCGAAATCGAAAAAGTTGGCAACAGGAAACATTCGACTAAGCTTGTTCTAAGTTAACTTGATTCACCCAAGATCTTCTCTAGTAATGGCACATCCCAGTAACTTTCAATTGTGACTGGGCCTGATACAGATCAAGTTTCTTCATTGTGAAAGGCTACTTTGTATAATCTGTGGTAAACAGACAATCATGATCGAGAACGGCGATCAAGATTTAAAAGTGCACCACGTAAGGTCGCATAACACCCACTCATAGTATGGTGCATAGGTGGTTTCGCATTCTGGACAGATAGAAAAGCTGCTTCTGAAGGTAAGAAATCCACGCATGCGGAAGTCACTGAACCGTGATGTGTTCTAACGCATAATTGACAGACAGGATAGTCAATGCATTGATTTTTTTCTAAATTAGCCACACTTGAAGTAAAGCAAGCAATTTCAATTTAAATTACGTAACTGAATCTACTACAATATATATAACCAGCAAAAAAGAAAACCTTACAAGCAAACATCAGCTATCAATTCAACAATTCTTCAAGTTAATCAACATGTATTTGAGAGCCTCAAATTCCAAATATTATAAAATTTTATTTATCAAACATGTCTCAGCTCTGCAATTAAGTGGAATACATTCTCCAAAGCTAGACATTACAATAAATGAAAAGAAAGGACATCTAAGGAAAGAAGATGCCTGAAAATGCACGCAGCTAAGTGTCAAGTGAGCTACTGTGTGACTCTGGTGGGTGACCATCACAACAATGCAGGAACAAATTATGTGCGCCCAGGAATTTGATGTGTTCTGATGAAACCAAAACATTGCAAAACAAGGTGCATTGAAAAGGTTGCACAGCTAAACAACACATTCCCTTAGACAGTACTTTTAACAAATGCTTAAACAACTATTCAGCACCATAAGCATTCAAGAAGCACTGTAAACATAGCATCAGAAATACTAGCGAACTGTTGATGAAACTGTTCTGAGGGCGTACAACAATTAAACCAATGAAGGAGTGGTTAAAAGAGAAACCAATGCAGCTTTCTTCTGTTCAACAGTACCTGCTGTCACCGGCGTTGGCCAGGTACAGCTTCCCGAGGATGAAAAGCGCCACGAGCACAGTGCAGCCACCGGTCATCTTGAAGTGCTTCTTGTCGTGCGCGATTTGCTTGTCCATGTCCCAGAAGGCAGTCTCCAGGGCACCGATGATGAGACTGTCAGCAGTAATCTTGCGATCACCGAAGGGTAGGAAGCCGCCTTCGGGCACAGAGGCCCCTCCGTCTGGCACCAGCAACTCCATCACGCTCATCAATTTGTCCTGCGTACGCATGGCACCAGTGTGAGAAAGTCCTGCGCTAATGTCGTTTTTGTTAGGTGAATGGTGTAGTGCTTGATCCTACACTAAATGCCGCACCACGAGAGTGACACCTGAGGAAGTGCGTAGCACAGGCAACCCAGCGATCCTCTTGGCAAGTGCGCGCTTGCCGAGGCGGTGGCGCCCTCTCTATACTGGCATGGGTATTAGCCGGACGTTCCTGAAGCGTATTTGGCGATTTTAGGTAAATTATTGCAATTAGTTATCGGTTATTTCTGTAGTTTATATAACTGAAACTTCGTTACTTTATTTTTCATTAGTTTGGAGCATCGCAAGCCTCTTTCAAGGCCTGTATCAACAGTAACCGTGGTACACGAGACGGAGGATGGAGAACAGGCCGTGCCACTTAAGTGCTAGGCACCTAAAATGGAACGTGCACTTGGGCGAGGAGTGCTCACCTGCAGCATCCGCTGGAGCACGTTTGACGCGGCCACGGCCACCCCGGATCCCGCGTGGCCGTCAAAAAGCGCGAAGTAGACCCACGGCAGCTCGGCGCCGTCCCCGTGTGCCCCGCGCCGCACGGCACCGCGGTACACGGCAGCCTGGTCCTCGTTGCGCAGGCTCTTGCCCGCGTTGATGGTCCTGCACCACACCGCCCACCGCCAGAATGAATGGGGACGCTCTACGTCAAACCCCCCCACCACACCGCGCACCCCTGCGCCAAACCCGCGCCGCTCACTCTGCATAGCCAGCGTTCCACGGGATCTTGCTCACGTCTCGCGGCACTATGATGGGCCTGATGACATGGTCAGCCGACACTTGAACTTCGTCGTCGGTGGTGAGCTGAAGGAAGCTAGGCCTCGTGTACTTAAACTTGAGCGGCAGCTTGTCACCGTCGCCGGGTGCTTCGCCGTCCCTCACAGCCGGCAGGGCGTCGAGTCCGCCCACAACGTTGTAGAGGGCATTCTTGACCCGGCTGAACATTGCTGATCGACCACGGCCGGGCCTCGGACGGCGCCCTACTACAGCATCGCGGAAAAAGACCGACCGCTGGGACGTTCTATGACATGCTGCTCGGACCCGCTGCCATGCTTGCGAGCTGGCGTGTGCGGAAGTGACGCCAAACCGAATTTCCACGTGATGTAAACACAGGGCGCTTTTGTGGTGCGATTGAACTGCAGTGATCTGCAGCTAATTAAAACCGAGAAAAGCTCACGGCGACGCGACACTGGCTTGACAGGCAGCGAGCGTAATCTGAAAGGAATTTGGTTTACGATCAATACGTAGCGGTAGCGCGTACGGCTTCTCTCGAGCGATCATTACAAGCGAAACCGGCGCGAGACAAGAAGGGATTTGCCGCATATGTTATGCAACGACGCAATCACCACGGCTGCTTCCACTGTCTTGTGCTGCTGCCTGCTGGTCACTGATTGGAATCATGCATTTCTCGTTACAGCACTGCACGCGTCACAGCGTAACGCCTATTACCGCGTTTACCGCAACTTCCAGTGCGGCCAGCGTCTCTTCTGAACAATCTGGCGTACCTTTTTGTGTGTGTTGTTTGCACCAAAGGTGGCGTTGCAATCGCTATAATCATAGGTCCTAGATGTTTCATCTTGGGACCTTTTACCTCAGCACACCTATACACTACCATTTGCTTATACACCTTATGTATGCGCCGTCGCCCATGAATTTCGCAACTCAAAACTCTGATTATGGTGGTCATGATCGTGGTAATAAACTGCCCACATCGCTGCTGTCACTGTCACTACTTGCCGAAGGACTTTCTCACCAAAATGCATCGCTAAGTGGTTAATTACGCCGTTCTCAATTATTCAGCTGGCTCGATCCTGCAGCCCTGGTAGGAGACACATATGGGACACATTCGGAAACATATCTCGAAATACAAGCATGATCAACTCACTAGTTTAACAAAGGTACTACCATTTCTTCCGTGATAAATTTGAGAGATTTTTGTTTAACACATTGGAGTTTATTGGAGAGAAGATATGGCTTCGTGAATTTTCGCATCGTCAAAATTAACCGCTAAAATTAATGGCCCACCCAATTAAGCTACAAAACGCAGCTTGTGAAGAAAACACGTGTCATTTGATGCGCCACCTCGGTTGATAATAATAGTAAAAAAACTAACAACGTGTTTACACTTTCAATGTTAAAAATACTGTACTATTTATTCTGATTGGTGGGTGACGCAATACTCTGGAAAATGTTTTTTTTTTTTTTTGTAACTAGAAAGTTGTTTGTTTAAATCCTGTTTAAACGCTTCGTCACTATCATTGGTTTTTAAACCGCCTTGTCGGCGATTCCACCAATCAGAGAGCAGCTGCAGTTTCGAGCGCTGCTGCGCTGGTGGTGTTTAAAATCTCGGCCGTTTGTTCAACGCCGAGCCTGGCTTGTTAGCTTGCCGAGCTCTCTCTTCGACCCCGAGAAACACCCCTGAGCCAGGCAGATTCGGTCGCCGTGCACTGCTGTATTTCCTCGAGCAGAAAAGTCATCCCGTAAGAGCTCAGTTTACTTCTTCGCTTGCGGCTCGCTGTCACCAGTGTTTTAGGGTTAACGTATGAAACGTGCGAAAACTGTATGGAGGGGCTACGCAGGAAGCTCTGTTGGGGTTCGCAGGGCCCTCGCTGCCGACTTCGAGGCGCGTAGCTCGTGGTGTTCGTTTAATACGAGACCTATTGCGCCTATCTGACTCGCATATGTCGCTAAAACGGTACACTGTGGGGCTAACACATTCGCCGCGCATGTTTACTGTGTCATTTGACGACTGCTTTGTCCGCTGCGCAGGTTCACCATGCCCACCCAAAACCGAATCGTTAACTTCAAAAACAAGGGCAAAGATCAGCAGGTGAGATGACGGTGACCTTTAGGGTTGGACGTTTGGCTAATAATAGGTGGGCGGCTGTGGCCCTCTTTTCTTTGTAGGAGATGCGCCGGCGAAGGAACGAAGTCAGCGTTGAACTACGCAAGCAGCGCAAGGACGACCAAATCCTCAAAAGGCGAAATGTCAGTTTCAGTGAGGACCCAGTCAGTCCCTTGCACGAACAGAACAAGGTGAGTCGATACGGTGTCGAAGACTGCCTGCATTTTTGAATTCGTTGGCTCGTCATAGGGGGGAATGCCCGCCATGCCCGTGGAGCGAGGGAAGTTGCACGTGGGCCCTTATCGGTTCTTAGAATGTTGTCGGCGTCTTGTGTGTAGACAACCAATACGTTCTGCACTGCGAGAAAAAATATATTTGGACATTTGCAATGGCCCAACTGGACTTCTGCCATCAGCAATTACAATGCTTTGGCAGTTATATAAGCCATTGCGTGATGCGGTGAAAGACGCCTGGTGGCTTTTAGCGGTTCTTAGAATGTCTTCTTTTTGTGTGCAGAGAGTTTATGCGTTCAGCATGGCTACCCAATAACGTAAATAAACAAAAAATAAAGCATCGGGACACATACCATGGCCCAGCAAGACCTGTCATTCAGTAGTGACAATGCTTCGGCAGTTACGTAAGCTTGCTCTCGTGATCCGTTCGCATTCAACACCTCCCTGCGCGATGGAACGCTGACGAGTGTTCATTTGAAATCGCGTGTCACTGGATAAAGTATGGGATTTCCTCCCCATGTCTCGTTAGTTTCCTACATAAGGTAAAGCTGCTGTCACATGTAAAGTCATTGCTGTAGGCGAACTCCATGTGTTAATTTAACAAGATATACATGGAAAGGTCAATTGCAAGGAAACGCTCTGCGGTCACGATATCAATAATATTTCAAAGTAGTGTTTGTTTCTGCAATGAAGCGATATGGCAGTGTTCGGTAGATGTTGACATCTTGAAGAGTCCTTGAAAGTGTTTCTATTAAAAACGAGTGTCTGGTTATGATATTCATACGAGCTCAGCAAAGCTGCCATAGCAACGGCTTGCTTACGTTGGGTGATTACTTGCCACCATCTGAAAATCGAAAGCATATCTTTGTGGCAACAGCAGTAATTTCGCTGACTAGCATGTCTTGATTCACTGTTTAATTAGCCAGCGACAAAGTGTGCTCAGTGCATTTGAAGTCTGACGGGAGGGCTGCAGCTCCAGGGAATTTTCGCTGGCGTGTGTAACAATATATGTCACGCATACCTGCCAAGTTTTACGATTTTATCGTAAAGTGCCCGATTTTCAGCACATTTTTACGAGTATCGTAATGACAACTATATTTTTACGATTTTTCATGTTTCGGGTCGAAAAGTTCGCAAGCTGAACGCGCTGCTTCAGACAGTCAACTGCACCAGCTGAATCTGGCCTTTTTTTTTTTTTTTTTGCGGGGCTATGCAGGCAACACTGTATTGGCTTATATCCAGAGCCAAAGCCAAAAGGCATTGACTTCGCGGATAGCGGAAATGTGCTCGACTTTCTTTGTTACCATGCGCTGCGGGAGGTGCCTTGCACATGTTTTTGCGGAGCGGTAGCGTATGGTTCAGCCCTAGCAGCTCACGAGATGTCTGAGAAGAAATACTTTCAAGTTTTTATTCCCAGCTATTCGACTGACTTTCCATTTATTAAGAGGTCGCGTAAAGGTGAACGGTACGCATTTTGTAGTTTGTGCTGCTGTGATGTGAACATTTCGCACGCTGGTCGCCGGGACATTCTGCTACATGTGAATACGAAGAAACACAAAGACTCGGCGAAACTTGTGGACTCTAACGGGAAACTTGGAGGGTACTTCAGCAAAGCGGATCTCGATACTACAACTCGAGCGGAGTGCCTTTTTACTGCGTTCCTGATTGAACACAACGTGCCGTTCACGGCTGCTGATCACGCTGGAGACCTCTTTCGAAAAATGTTTCCGGACTCGAAGGAAGCTAAGAACTACGCCTGCGCCCGTACGAAGACTACGGCGATTGTGAAGGAAATGGCCAATAAAGCTATCGACGAAGTGATAAGTCACTTGCAGCACGCTCCGTTCTCAGTCGCCACAGACGGGAGCAATGACGCCGGCAACGATGCAAAACTGTATCCAATCGTGGTGACGTTCTGTGATAGTACTGTTCGCACTGCCTTGCTCGCGATGCCTGCCCTCGAAGGTAACTCCACGGGACGAAACATCGGTGCGCTTGTTGTGGACATGCTAACGAGCAAAAAGATACCGCTCTAGAACTGCATCGGCATGGCGTGTGATAACGCGCCAGTCATGATTGGATTAAAAAACGGAGTGGCTGCTGTGCTGAAAGAAAGCCATGAGAACATTGCCATCATGGGCTGCCGTTGCCATTTGATCAATCTGGCGGCACAGAAAGGCTCAGCATGCCTTCCACTGAATGTGGATGAGCTGCTAGTTGACATTTTCTACTACCTCGAGAAAAGCTCAAAAAGGAAGGACAAGCTGAAAGCTTTTCAGTCTCTCCACGATGTAGAGACCAAGAAAATTTTAAAGCATGTCAGCACCAGGTGGCTCTCTTGGAAGGAGCCTGAAACGGCTTGTGGACCAGTGGCAGCCACTGCTTAGTTTCTTCCATAGTGAAGTAAGGCCCTCCGGGCAGGTTTCCAAGTTTCCCAGCAAGCCATGTAACCTTCGCACTGACCTTCAGAAGCATGCAAAGGAAGCGGAGAGCCGTCATCCGAGCAAAAGACCAAGACTGGACACAAATGTCCCCGTGTCGGATACAGCTCCCAAGCGAACCCAAAACCGTCCAGGAAAGGTCTTAAACAGAGAAGAAAGGCTATTTATGTTTCTTTCATCAGATGCAAATAGAGCATACTGTGACTTCTTGCTGTCTGTAATCCCAGAGTTTGAAAAGGTGAACGTGTTCCTGCAGTCTGGAGCCCCTCAAGTGCACTTGCTGCGTGAAGTGCTTAGTAACTTGCTAAGAGAGATCATGTTGCGTTTTGTAAAACCTTCAGTGATCAAAAAAGCTGATGTGTTGGCTGACGTTGACTACAAATCTTCCGTCAGCCAAAGAGATAATGAAGATATTGTAATTGGTAGTCGGACCACACAGATTTTGGAAGGCCTAAAAAAAGAAGCAAGGGAAGAGTTTTTACACATATAAGAAGGTTCTTCGTTGCAGCAACGGAGTACATGATCCTGAAATTTCCACTGAAGTGTGAGCTGTTGAAGAGTGCAGAAGTAGCAAGGCTTGCGTCCATTGAACACGCCAGGTTTTCTGATGTGAAGTATTTAATCAACCGCTTCCCAGTGCTGCTACCACTTCAAGAGGGGCAAGATGTGAATTCTGCTCTGGACGACATTCAGGCAGAGTTCACGCGTCTTCAGTTGGAAGAATTACCCGCTGAAGTACCTAAGGAGCAGCAGATTGATGAGCAATGGCGGGCGGTGTCCGGTTTACGAGAAGTGGATGGCAGCTTTAAGTATGCCAGACTTTCAAAATTTATGTTGGGGGTCCTAACACTCCCGCTTAGTAATGCGGAGTGTGAGTCTTCAGCAAAGTGAAAAAGGCGCACACCCAGTTCCGTGCCTCCATGTCGAAAAAGACTGTGGAGCAGTTGCTTGTCGCAAGATGTGCCCAGTCACACTCGAGAAAGTGCCACGAACAGGTCTTTGACAAGGACTTTCTGAGGAAGGCCAAGGCTGCCACGGCCTCTATGCTAGCCCACCCCTCCACTTCCGAGACTTGAGAACTTTTTGTGCCTCTTTTGTGAAATGTTTCTTTTGTATTCCATTCATCTAAGCCAGTTCTTAGAAAATAAAGCGCTATTTTAGTATTTTTTGTCATCTCCTGTAGTACTTTAAGAACTGTGGGGTTGGCACGTCTGTATGTGCAGTTGAGCGCCATAACCATTGTTGTGGCAAAATTTTCAAATTTTTCATGCAAGATCCACATGCTGCACCTAGTGCCATCTCGTTAATCAATGGGACGATTCTGCCGGCCTGTGAGCAATCAATAAATTTTGATACCAATATAGGAGGCGCAGCTTTACGAAGCTTCACGACTTTCAAATCAGTCTATTTAGAGGTATACTAATTGACAATTCTTTTTACTAGTTCTAAGGGAAGGGGCAGGCCCATTTTCCCTCTGCAAAACTACTGGCAAGTGTGCAGTACCCTTTTTAAATTGCACAATGACTTTTTTGTGACCAAATTCAGTACTCATGAAGTGTTTGCACCATTAGTTGGGAAGGTTAGGTTCATTCCATTCTTTCAATTGCTGCATCTCAAATTGATGCACACACAGCACCTGTCAGACCTTTTGCCAGGAATTTTTTGGGAAGGGGAGGGGCAGGCCCTCATGTCACTACCCCTGGCTATGGGCCTGACACCTGTTGATTCAATTTACGTGAACAGCAATGTCATCTACCCCAATTTCACTTTATAACATAAACAGTCTTCTTTGTTATGAGGCCATGATAGTGTCGAACGATGTTAGGCCTGTGTCAGAAGCGGAGAGGTGTTGAATAAAGGCACAAAGGATTACCCTTAAACCTTATAGGCTTGAACATATGCTCCTATAAATTTGACACAAATTCCAGGTTTATACAGTAGGATTTGTGGCTATGGCTACTTAAAAAAGTATTGGCACAGCTGGCACTAGTTTGGTTAAAAGCTGGAAACGGCAACTTCGTTTGAACTTCGAGGAAGAAGCTGGCCTACCAAGCCTGTGTGCCTGTTCTGCTAGACGACATGCGTTTGGCAGGGACATGTCGCAAGACTAATTTCAAGAGATTTCAGGAAAATTGTCACGTGATAAGCTCCCATGATTTTGTCCTGTCCCCCCTTTTTTCTTTCATTTTTTTTTCTGGTTTTTTTTTTCAGTCTAGATTTCCGTTAATTATGTTCTTCTGCATGTGCTTCTTTTGAGAAGGTGTAGATGTCAGAGTGCATGCTGGCTTGCAAATGAAGGTTTTCGTGAACGCTATGCAGAGGGGTTTGTCTAGCATAAATGGCTTGCTGTTGAAATATGGTACTGACAACCATTCAGAATGTCGTATTTAACCTTAGTGGAAATAGGGAAAACGGTAAATCGTAGAACACCAGGCAGTCACCGCAAGATGTGAACTCAGTCCCTGTTGAACAGTGGCAAAAGCTGCAGCTGTATCGGCCCTTGCATGTGGTGCAAATGACTTGGTGAAGGCACCGAGTGTACCCATGATACTTCCAGTATTACACAGTGGTTAGATTTCAAAAATCCAACCTATAGGAAAATGTTTGCGTGCATTAGCTCTCGAGAAAAGTCTTTGGTTGCACAAAAGGACTTGCATGTACAGAATCTAAAAATATAAGGAAAACAAGTGTAAGTTGTATTGTAACTTGCACCCCTTTGACGAAGCTCAATGTGCCGTGCTGTGGTGTCGATTTGGTTTTAAGTAAAATCTTTTCTCTTCAAATAGTTTGTTGCCTGTAGTACACTTTAGCATCGTCTTCAAAAGGTTTGAGAGAAGGAAGGGGTGTCCTCTGCTTACTTTTTTTTCTTTTGCATTCCTTCTTGTGGTTCTCGCACATCCCCTGTCCAGGTTCTTCTCAATGCTTCTTATCCTAAATTTTTGCATTGCCAGCCTGCTACACTGGTTAATCCATAGCAAGCTAGGTAGGGCCATGCTTGTTCAACATAGCGCACGATCTTTCTCATGTGTGTTTACCACTGTGTGGGTACATTTGTTGCATTTACTATAGCTTCCACAGATGCAGCTAATCGTAAAATTCTGATGAAAGATGTTTCGTTGCCCCGCTGCGGTGGTCCAGTGGCTAAGGTACTCGTCTGCTGACCCGCAGGTCGCGGGTTCGAATCCCGGCTGCATTTCCGATGGAGGCGGAAATGTTGTAGGCCCGTGTGCTCGGATTTGGGTGCACGTTAAAGAACTCCAGGTGGTCGAAATTTCCGGAGCCCTCCACTACGGCGTCTCTCATATTCATATGGTGGTTTTGGGACGTTGAACCCCTCATATCAATCAAAGATGTTTCGTTTTACTTCATGACTGGCAAGCTTTCCACTGCACTAAGGGGAAACTGGTGTCACAGGTTGTCAGTCCCTGCAATGGTCATTCTAGTCATCAGGCAGCAATAATTTTTAACTGAATAGCCTTTTAAGCTGACTTCCTGTTCAACTTCAAGGGAAGTTTTTTGCGAGCATACAAGAGACTTGGTTGCTTCTTCAAGCTGTCGCAAAACGCCAGTTATCAAATTTGCGACATCACTGCTCCTGCTGGGAGGCACACGATTTGCGTTCTGGTAAGCAAGCCTAGCCATTCATACAAAAAGCAGCTTGTCGGTTGGTCTTCCAAACCAGTCAACACCATCAAGTTGTCCAACATCCTACTCTGTGGTGAACAGGCTTCTACGCTTGACTTCACTAAGCTGTTTTTAGTTCTAGTGCACCGACTTGTCTCCTTGCTTTGCTGCAGGGATCGTTTGCTTCTGTGGAGGAAATGGTTGCAGGACTGACGAGCCCTGACCCAGATGTGCAGCTGATGGCTACGCAGTCTGTGCGCAAGATGCTGTCTCGAGAACGACACCCACCCATAGATGCCATGATTCAGGCTGGAGTCGTACCTGTCCTTGTGTCGGCACTAGCCAATGATGCTTGGTAAGCATGGACATGTTGCAATGCGATATTGGTGCTAATTCCATGGTGTGTTTTCCTGCCAAGACAACAATGACAAATGTTTTGCGATCATTGTTGGCTGTCATAGGACTAATTGAACCAGCAAATATGAATCTGAAGATTGTAAATTAGTGGAGCTGTGTGAATACCAGCAAATATGAAATCTGAACATTTTAAAGGGGCCGACTGGTCTTTTGGACCGAAAAGTCACAAATTTAATTTTTAAGATTGACATATTTGGTTTCTGTATTTTTATATCTCTGCGAATTTTCATGCACCAGAAAATGGTAATTTTTATGTAATGTCATTCTAACTGCCCAGATTCCTGGTGCTGTTTAGTTAACATGCAGAACCTGCGAAAAAATGGGGAACAGACTTCGCGGCTTCTTGATAATTGGCCGGCTCCTGTGTTAGAAGCTCTGCTACGAATTTATAAGCACCTTTACGAGGATTGCAAAACATGTGCACCATGATTGTTGCTTTTTGAAGAAGCTGTGTTTTCAGTTCCATTTTTCTCAAAAAAGTCAATTTACGACTGTTCCATTTTGAGGCCTCAATATCCCTGCAGCTAGGGCACGTACAATTACTTTTGGAATGGAAACCTGTATGTGTGTATAATGCAAGTATGGGAGCAGAAGTTAGAGTAGAAGCCTTTTTAATTAATTACTCATCAAAGTTGTAGTACAATTCCAACAGCCTTTGAAAATGGATAGTTCATTTTGCTGTAAAGTAACCAAGAAAGGCCTAAAAACAAGAAACTCTTGCAAACTTTCACTCTATAGTCTTTAGTCTATGTTGGCATATTTTGCATATCACCTTTAATTGAGCACTTTTTTTTATAGCAGCCTCAAACAATAGGGGGTGAACTTAAGCTATTTCAGGAAGATGAGTTGTAGAAAAACTAATTAAATATTTAAATTCAGCAGAAAAAACTGTGTAATACTCTGCAGTTTGATGAAGCCCACTGAAAAAATAAACAAAAAATGTCCAAGACCAGTCTGCCCCCTTAAAATAGTACAGCTGTGTGAATACCAAATTTTGGGTGTGAAGTGAATTTAGATGTTGAAGTGCATTTGTAAATTGAATTGAATATCTTCAAAGTTTTCTAAATTTTAATATTTCTAAGCGAAATTGCAGGGGAGAAATGTTTGAGAGAATTATCTAAACATATTCATATGAGATAGCAACATCAGTGTTTCTTTTGGCTAGGTAGGTGAATCGCTGGCGGGGTGATGTTTGATAGTTTTAAGTATGAGGCAATGCAGAGGCTGAATTGCTTTTATGTAGATGATTTGCTGCACCAAATTGTTGCCAACACCTTTCACACAAAAGGTGAAGATGCTATTTCCTCTGCCTATCCTCCTCTTTTCATCTTCAGGGGGGGACAAGTGTGCTCCCTTTTAGGCTGGGGGACAAGTGTGCTCCCTCCTAGGATAGAGTTCCAAATCTGCCTTGTGGATGTCAATGTATCTGAAAGCCTTGAATTTTGGATGCTAAAACTCCTCTGCATCTGATTTTTTAGATTTTCTGCCCAGATTTCAGGTCCAAAGCAGCATTAAAGGGGTACTGGCACGAAAACCATTGGCTTCGTGTTTTTTTTTTTGATGAGATACGTTGCTGGGGCCCTGTTGTCATGACACGACACATCGTTTGCTGCTGCACGCTACAGATAATTAATTGCAGGCCCATCATTATCGACCAATTTCAGTTTTGATTTGAGAGAACTCCTAAAAGTGGGTACAACCGTCGCCAGCTAGCTTGCGCAGCTCTTGACCACATCAGCACACAGAACTGTGACACACTTCTGCTCGGTTCGCATCAAAAATTTATTTCGAATAGGAAATGGGACTACAATGTCGCCAAACAAAATTTCTAAGCGTGTGCCACAATCGTGCACTCGCAACCAGCCGCAGTTAAATATATACTGCGGGGACAAACGTGACTAAAGAAAAATGTTAGCTATGACGTCGTCATAACTTGTTTTGTTGACTGCAGTGTGGCGACATGAGGGTAGTAGGGGGTCCCCTAAGCGTCCCTTTCGTGAGTGTCAAGGGCTAACTCAAGCTTCCAAGTTCTTTTAAGATAACTTCCCAGCTATATTTGCAGATGATATACGAATATTTCTGGGAATCGACCCCACAGGCTATCTTTGCTGCGAAATTTTGTCAGTGCCCTTTTAATTGAGCCTTGCAGCCGCATCTGTCATACTCATGTCGGAACCAGCATTTTCTCGAGTCAATACATTTGCGACCGTAGGAAAGCCTGAAAGGCAACTTTTTTGTAGTACGAGAGTGTAATAGGAGTCGCTGCCAATCCGTTGTTTACTGCATTTATCTTCGGGCATGTTAAATACTAGTAAAATTTCAATGTGAATGTATTAGTGAACAAAAATATTAAAACTATTTGAAGTTTTGAATGTTTGTACACACCTATGAAATATATATAGCAGATGGAAATAAGGCAGATATCGGGTAGCACACTCTTTCCACAATTCTGGTTGTAGTCACGTGACAGGAGGTATTCACTGAAATGCCATTGCTTGAGCCAGCAGGTCATGTCAGCTCGCTTTAGACAGCCGCATAAATTTAAATTTGTGTTTGCACCTTCACTGACCAGTGGTTTCCATGGTGCAGAACTGGCTTTTTTCTTTTCGTGCAGTCCAACGCTGCAGTTTGAGGCAGCCTGGGCGTTGACCAACATTGCATCTGGAACGGCAGAGCAGACGGACACTCTGATTCAAGCTGGTGCTGTGCCTCTGTTTGTGCGGCTGCTGGGCTCGCCCCATGCCAATGTGTGCGAGCAGGCCGTCTGGGCACTGGGAAACATTGCGGGCGATGGCCCCAACCTGAGAGACCTCGTGTTGCAAGCTGGCATCCTCAAGCCCCTGCTGGCCCTTGCACGACCAGACGCCCCTGTGAGTGTGAAACTGGACAATTTCCTGGAACTGTTTCGAAAAGGGCCACTAAAGCGGAACGTTGGATATTGTACTGGGCTGACTGAGTAGTCCCCTCGTTTAAATTGCTGTTTGATTTAGCACCCAAAAAGCACTTTCAATTTTTGGATTGTCGCCGGAAACCCGAACTGCCTCAATGTCAGTATAACATTTGGTGAAGCTGTGTGAATGTGCACTGCATCAGTTGGTGCAGCAATGTGAAGGGCACCGTTGCTGCTGTCCTTAATTTTTTTTTTTTTTTTTCTGAGCATTGCCCAGTTTACAACGCATCTTGCTGAATGCGTGGGGCTTGCAGTATTCGTGCGAAGGTAATTGCTCTTTCCAGTGCTACAGAGATCTTTTTCTTTGGTGTCCCTTCAAGCCAGGTTATTTTCTGATGGGGTTGAATGAAGGAAAGTTAAGCCGGGAAAGGTTGCAGTGGCCAGTTGTAATTTATGCCTGGATGTGGCTCATGCAGGCACCATTCATCCGCAACGTTACATGGTCCCTCTCCAACCTGTGCCGCAACAAGAATCCTCCTCCACCCTTTGAAACCATTCGTGAATGCCTTCCCGCTCTGGCACAGCTCATTCATCACACTGGTGAGTCGCCACTTTTCTTTGTGTACGTATTGTAAAATATGAACATGGTGGCAAAAGGTAAAATATGAACATGGTGGCAGAAGTGCAGTAGTCAATGGAACCTCGTTAATACAGTAGACTCCAATTAAATGAAACCTCAAGGGACGAGGAAAATGTTTCCTTTAAGAGGAGCCTCATGTATTGAGAGATAAACAGAGGTATAATATTCAATTGGTAAACCAAACATATTTCGGGCAGCTGTTCCATTTAAGCAACAATTTAATTTAGGAATGTTTAATTTAATAAGAATCTACTGTACATAAAAAAACTGTACTTAGCTAAGTGTACTATTAAAATAATTAAAATATCATGCAGTTTTGTATGGTTGATATTCGAAAGTCTCCGCCATGCTGCAAAACTGAAGCAATAAATGTGATGGCTACAAATTGGAATGTCAAGTGAAGAATTGCAAGCAGATCCGAATGTGTCCTGCGTTGCCCATGCACAAATGATATGTACTTGCAGGTACAGATGAGTGTGAATAAGTGTCTGTTGTTAATTCGTTGTGTCTGAAAAGCACATCTTTTTTGCAAACGGAAACTGTGCAGCGAGTGCAGTATTATTTGTGCGCCCGGTAACTACAGTGGAACTTCATGGGGCAAGAAAACTTGTTTCATTTACTAGAAGTATCATTTAAGTAAAGCCCACAAAATGAATGAAATATTGCTTTATTTCAAAAGCAACTGTGGCCGACTGAAAAAAAAAATTTTGGAAGTACAGTGGACTCCCATTAAACGTAAAAGCCGCATAAACGAAACTATCTAGGCACATTTAGTAGGGCTGCTATATAATTATAAAAAATTCGGGTAATCGGAACATTTTTTTGCTTACATCGGTTAAGGGGGCGCATGGATCTTTGGACGAAAAAACTTTTGAATTGTGGCATTTTAGAAATCTACATCTATTATTCTCCTTATCTGCCAAGTTTCCCATCTTGAAAGACTGTATTTCAGCCGTAATATCAATTTAAAACATGCCATGCGGCCGGTTTTTCATCTGTGCAGACGCTGAAATGGCGCACGTTCAATTGCCGCGCTCGTGTTACCGTAATTACTCGAATCTAACGCGCACCTTTTTTCCGGTTAACCGAGTTTATAAATTGCATGCGCGTTAGAATCGAGTACGAACAAAAAAATTACGGTCAATCTATTGCCATCGGCAAATCCCAAATGGCCGCCCCCTACGTGCGTCGGCATGGCGCGTCGGCCATTTCTGCCTATGTGTTTCCCATGTGCGGCACTTCGTACGTGTGCTGAGGAGTTCGTCATCTAGTAGTGCATTAGCATCGACGGCGTGGAAGGGCCGACTCCAAAAACTCGATAGCACCACGATGCCGCTTTTAAGTTATGGCGTGTGCAGAAACGGACGGAAATTGGGCCGCATCGCGGTCGTTCGGAGTTCCCGAAACGTGCGTGCGGGACCGGCAAAAACAAAAGCAGAAGATTCTCGACAGCAAAGCTTCACGCAAAGGCTTCAGTGGACCACAGCAGGGTCGGTTTCCGCAAATTAAAGAGCTGCTCGGCAAGTATGTGCTTGAGCAGCGAGCGGCACAGCGGCCCGTGACGACAGAACTGCTCCAAGTGCGGGCTATGCAATTAGTCTTGGAAAAAGGTCTAATGCAGAGCCAGTTTAAAGCGAGCAGGTGCTGGCTAACTAACTTTATTTAGAGGAAAGGCTTTTCCCTCCAAAGGGGAACATGCATATGCGAAAAGTTTTGCGGAGGAGTACGATGAAAAGCTTCACAGTTTTCAGAGGTTCGACCTAAACTTGCGGCGCAACAACGGCTACCTGCTTGGGCAAATCGGGAATGCCCTTCAGACGCCTCTTTACTTCGACATGCCTGGCACCACAACCGTCGAGAAGAAGGGCGCGAAGCAAGTTCGCGTGCTGACATCGGTCCACGGTAAAACTACCGTGACGGAAAACTCTGTTACACGTCAGATGGGCACAAGCTTCGCCCGTACCTCATATTTAAATAGAATACGCTCCCGAAAGGAGTAGTTTTTTCGAGTGGTGTGATCGTGCGGGCCGGCGAGAAAAATGGGTGCGCGTTGCAATTGATGTCTTACGTTTTTTTTTTTTTTTCGCGGTGGAAATCGGGTGCGCGTTACAATCGAGGGCGCGGTAGAATCGAGTAAATACGGTAACTGCCTCGAATGCGGGCATCTTGGTCGCGTTGGAAAGGGCAAGTTTTCGGCTTCAAATATTGCGCACTTTTTGCTCCGTTAGGCCTATGGTTGAATACAAGATCGCCAAAAATGCGAGAAGCGCATTTTATGTAGCAAGCACGTGACAAAATAGTGCTATGTGATTAGCTGTCCTCGTCCTCAGCTGCCTGCTAAACGCTCTAGAGGTGCACTGCAAGGCGCCATTTTGGATACGGCTCTTGGGTGGCAACGCACGACTGGGCCCTTCCCTCCATAAGTTTGCTTCCAAGCACAAGTATGGAAAGAGGAAGATGTCCATTCTCGCTAACCTCCACAAACGCCCCGCCGCTTCGCAAGTTGTGGACAATGACCCGCCGACTGCGCCAAGCGATGGCACCGATGTAGCGGATGACGACGAGCGAGAGTTAGGCCTAGACGAAGAGCCGTCAAGTGCGTGCGACGAAACCGCCAGCCGCATTTGTCGCGATACAGTTATGCAGACGCGTTCAGATCTGCAGCTGCTAAAGAGCCGACGAGCAACTGCAAGAGCTCGCGTCAACCGCGGCAGTAACCTGTAAGTTGGAACATTCTGTCCGCTAGCGATGTCGCGACCGATTCGGTCGATGATAGTTTTCACCATGTTGTGTTTAAATTCGGTGAACGCGCTTCTTCTGGAGCACATGAAGTGCAAGACTTGCGGTGGCAGCGCGAAAATAAACTGGAAGAAGCGAGAGTACGGCCTTTAAAGTCAGTCTGGTGCTCACATGCTCGAATTGCAGTGACTAAGGGTCTGCATAGAGCTCGCCGCGAGTGGATGGCACTCCGAAGCTAAATCCGTTCGCTATATATATTCTGGCTTCGTGAGCAATGCAGAGCACAGGCAATCGGCAAACGACGTTTAATGATATTTTTGCAGCCATGAATATCTCGCACCGTGCGCTGCATACAAAAACGTGGCAGATGTACCTAAAAGCGAACTTGATGCCTGTCGCAACTCGGGCAGCAGAGACTCTCGCTACTCAGTGCGCGAATTCGATCCGGCAGCTGTACAGCACATTGAATTTCAGCTACCCAGGAAACATCGATCACCGTTTCCTACGACGGGTCTTGGATGACTCGTGGGCACAGTTCCCACATTGGTGTCGATACCATAATCGAACTTTTCACTGGAATTGTGTTTGATTACGTTGTGCTTTGCAACTTTTGGGCCGCATGCGAGCGCGGATCAAAAGTGGATGATACAGCTTATGAGGAGTGGAAGACCAACCACGTGTGACAAAAAAAAAAAAAAATACTGATAAGAAGGCAAGAGGAATGGAGGTGGAGGCAGGCATCATTTTATTCAAGAGGTCTCTTGAAAAGCACAGCTTCAGGTACACCACAGTGCTGTCCGACGACGATAGCCATACATTCCTGGCCCTGAAGGAGGCCAAAGTGTACGGGTTTATTGAGGTTAATGTGGGGTTCGTTCTACCAAGATTTTATTGTATTCTCGACAGCGTGGACTTTGGAATATTGAACTTTGTCGCAATATTCGTCTTCAAAAGGTTGTTGCGATCAAGTTGTTAAACGATTTTTATTTTCCTTGCGAGCGAAAGTGCATTGTGCTGCCGTTTTTTTGGTTTCATCTTAAATTCATGATGAGACGTTGATCGCTGCTCGGCGTGCACGGTCATGTGCGATCGCTGGATTGGCTTGGCTAGGCTAGCTTCAGTCTGTTTCATGGTTGAGACTGCCGTGGGTATTTCTGCCGTTCATGGATTTTCGCCCGTTTCAGTTTCATTTAACTGATGTAAGCGGGGAAAAAAATGTTCAGATTACCAGAAACTTTTATCATTAATTATATAGGAGACCAACCAAATGTGCCTAGATAGTTTCGTTTATGGGACTTTTCTGTTTGAGTTTTGCATAATGAGTCCACTGTGCAGCAGAATCTTTCCGGTGAAAGCCCAAGGCATATGATTCACCCCACCATAAGAGAAGCACACGAGCGTCTACTGCTCCCCGTCCTCTTCGTCGGGCAAAGTACGCTTGAGAGATCAACGCATGAGCGTGCGTCGTGATCTGGCGACGTGCACTCTTTGTGCCATCTCACTGGTAATGCGGAAAACGCGATATTTTCCCAAAATTTGCATCGCCAGCGGTATGTTATAGATATGAATAGTTTGCTTTTTGAACGTTGAAGGAAGTGCTCCTTCGTGTCTCGGTGGCGAATGCCATGCGCTCACAAGCAAGGGTCCGGACGTTCGATTTTGTGTGCCGGATTCTTTCCCTACAAGCTTTTTCTTTCTTGCGTTTTCGTATATATAGATACGTATACATAAACAGTGAATGGCAGCAGCCACTGACGCTGGCAGCAAAATCCAACCGAGTGTCCATTGGCTGGAAAAGTAATTCAGTCCTCTATCGGGCCTTGCTGTGAACATTTTGCAAAAGTGCCGATGGCGGAGACACCAGTGGGCTGGCTGTGAAAGCCGGAAACGGGCCAGGTTCCAGCCATTCTCGTTTTCACTCTGCAGACCGGGAAGTGATGGGGGATGCTTGCTGGGCCCTGTCGTACCTGACGGACGGTGCCAACGAGCAGATCGAAGAAGTTGTGCAGCAGCCTGGTGTGGTGTCCCGCCTGGTGGAGTTGCTGGGCGGTGGCCAGCACCCAGTGTCTGTGGTGACCCCCGCCCTGCGTGCCCTGGGCAACATAGTGACGGGCAGCGACGCACAGACGCAAGCAGTGATTGACGCGGGTGCACTCGTGCCTCTGCGCGCTCTGCTGCGCCACCCCAAGGCAAACTTGCAAAAGGAGGCCGCCTGGGCGGTGTCCAACATCACCGCGGGTACCGAACAGCAGATTCAGGCTGTCGTCGACGCCGGCCTCATTGAGCCTCTGATTGAGGTTCTGGCCACAGGGGATGCACGCAGCCAGAAGGAGGCAGTCTGGGCTGTCACCAACCTTACCTCGGGTGGCTCTCTCTCCCAGGTATGCTCACTAATTGTTTTAGTAAGGAGCTTTCTTTTGCAATGCAGCTGGTCAACTTTTCATTGAGCCGTGTAGATGAACCCGCAAAGGCACTCTCATAGCCTTTTTCTGTTTCACTGTCAGAACACATGCACTGACTTGCTGGTATGCAGCAGAAAAGCTGCTACCTGAAGTACTCTGCATCTACCAGTGAAATTTACCATCAGTTTTAAGGGGGAGGGGGGGACACGCTGCTCTTAAAAGTTTTTTTACTTCTAGATTGATTTTGATAAAACTTGGGGAGCTTATGTATGTATGCGTGCTGATTTTAAATAGGCAAATAGTTTTATTGTATGAGGTGTAGTTTTTAAAATAAAAAATATTTCATGTGCCTTTTGGGGAGCAAGATTTTTTCGAAACTAAGAAAGCTACAAAGTAAATTAGCATATCGCAATAATTTGGAATCGGGACTGTGTGCAATGCAAGAAAAGTGGATGTTCTAAATCAATTTGAACAAAAGTTATAGTACATTGAACATTTAGAACAAGTCAACTTGAAGCTAAGATTTCATTGGAAGGTGTCAAACATTCCATAAATTTGCTTCTAGTGGGTTTAGGACATCTATATTTGCATTACAGTCGTGTTTAATTTTAAATTGTTTTGATACGCTGATTTACTTTGTAACTCTTTTAATTAGACAAACACTTGTTCCCCAAAAGGCACGTGAAATAGTATTTCGTGTGCCTTTTCAGTTAGTATTTCTGTTACTATTAATGTTGCGCGAAGAATGCAAACAGATTAAAATGTGCCCCGCGTTGCTCACGCGAATAAGTCTCGGTTGTTACTTCGCTGTGTCTGAAAAGCACGCCCTTTTTGCAAACAAACTGCAGCGAGTGCAGCGACTCCAGACTCCTGAAGGGTCTCTCCTTTGTGGCTCAATGCTGTCACGGTCTCGAACATTTTGGTACTTTTTTTCTACAAATTTTGAATTGCGTGTTGGCACCACAAGAAACGACTGCAGTTCACTGAACATGGGGGCTGCCATTGCTCGATAACGACTGCAATGAAACTGCCCTGCTTTGCGACTGGCTTGCTTCTTAGTCGCAGACATTCTGAAGGTCAAGCTCAGTTGGCTAAGCAACTGTTCACCCTGCAGCTCGGTGCACTCGCAGAACAATGCTTTTCTTTACACGGTTGGCCAGTGTGGTCAGTAGTCAGAGCAACTGTTCGTCCGGATTAATAGGGTCAGCCAGTCGCTTCTAGTGGGCGATGAGAATAGCATCAACCACGATACCGCGCCTGCATCTCTGCATTATCGGATACCTGCTGACGGCGGATAGCTGTTGATGCAACTGCGCAGTTTTTTGTGCACAATGGTGTCTGTTTGGTTCTTTTGTGGAAGCCACCGTTTTTTAGTGTTTCTTGACGTGGTGTCGCTATGCATGTATGAGAATCTACCCATTGGCGGAGTTTTGAATCCCTGAGGGCGCAATTCGATCCCATAGTTGTTTAGGTCCGCCGTTGATTTGGCCGGCATAACCTGCTGCTGCTTCCCCGTCGTGATTCGACCGCAGGTTTAGCTAGGCTGAATTTGTCGTAATTAACGAGTTTTCAGTCGTAGAACAATGTACATTTTGGACGGGACCAGATGCTGTGGCCAATTTTACTGTAGTCAGTTGCTTTCTTAGTACAACATCTAGTTACTAAAATATTGAGCATTTAAGCGTGTTTTTCGTTAATTTGGCATGCAGTGTAAGCACCCTTATACATCAGAGTTAAACAGTGTCAAATATTTTGCCTAAAGTTTTCATTGCTAAGCGTTGGCACGCTGTCTGAAGTGCATGACACCACGTACAACAAAAACAGACAGAGAACACAGTTGCTTGTGTCTGTGTCGTACCCAAGCAGACTTGCCTAAGAAAACTGCAGACGCACTTGTATCACGCATGGTCCTTTTCTTGCTTTAGTCTGTCAGCTGCAGAACTTCATGAAGAGTGTCTGTAAAATCACTCTGAAAGTATGAGTTGGAAAATCGGAGTTGGTGAATCTTGCACGTTTTCTCTCCGATGCCGGTGCATAGCAAACAAACCTGATACTACGCACTCTATTGAAAAACTAGCACTGGAAGAAAAAATAACGAAGTGCACTGCACCCGTGCTACCGAATGTAACGCACACCTTTTTTCCCGTTAAGCGAGTTCATAAATCGCATGCATGTTAGAATCGCGTACGAAAAACATGAATATGGTCAATCTATTGCCATCGGCATTTCCAAAATGGCCGCCCCCTACACGCGTCGGCATGGTGCGTCGGCCATTTCTGCCTATGTGTTTCCCATGTGCATCACATTGTACGTGTGCTGAAGACTTCGTCATCTTGTAGTGCATTAGCATCGACGGCATGGAAGGGCGGACTCTAAAAACTCGAGTGCACCACGATGGCGCTTTTAAAAGAAAAGCCATCGCGTGTGCAGAAACGGACGGAAATCGGGCTGCACCGCGGTCGTTCGGAGTTCCCGAAACGTGCGTGCGGGACTGGCAGAAACAAAAGCAGAAGATTGTCGACAGCAAAGCGAGAAAAATGAGTGCGCGTTGTAATCGATGTCTTACCTTTTTTTTGTCGTGGAAATCTGGTGTGCATTACCATAGCTCGGCATACTCACTCATGAGTACACTCGCTCGCACTCATTCATACTCATTTGAATGTGGTGAGTGTGAGTATGAGTGAGTACTTATGAGTAGGAGTGAGAATGGACGTGAACGAGTACTTTCAGTGTGAGTAGAAGTGAGTATGAACATGAGTGGGTGTTCATGAGTGCGAGTAGGAGTGAGTATGAACATGAGTGGGTGCTCATGAGTGCGAGTAGGAGTGAGTATGAACGTGAGTGGGTGCTCATGAGTGCGAGTAGGAGTGAGTATGAACGTGAGTGGGTGCTCATGAGTGCGAGTAGGAGTGAGTATGAACGTGAGTGGGTGCTCATGAGTGCGAGTAGGAGTGAGTATGAACGTGAGTGGGTGCTCATGAGTGCGAGTAGGAGTGAGTATGAACGTGAGTGGGTGCTCATGAGTGTGAGTAGGAGTGAGTATGAACGTGAGTGAGTACTCTGAGTGTGACAAGGAGGGAGTATGAACGTTAGTGAGTACTCGTGAGTGTGACAAGGAGGGAGTATGAACGTTAGTGAGTACTCGTGAGTGCGAGTAGGCGCGAGTATGAACGGGAGTGAGGGCCTATTAGTGGGAGTACACGTATGAACGTGAGTGAGGGTGAAGGCTGAAAAAATTGTGGCGAGTAGTTTCTCAAAGTGCCGGCCTATGTGCGTTATAATCAAGGGCGCTGTAGAATGAGTAAATACGGTAGGTGAACTGTTCGTGCTGTGACGGCCCCATCCGAATTTTGGTCGCACCGATTCTGTGCAACATGCTGGAATCGAACACACCTTAAGTACTTTATTTACTTGCATAACGAGCCCCCCCCCCCCCCCCATCTTGGTCTTTGAAAGAATAAAAAATAATTTTTTATAGTATCTCTTCATATATTTTCGTATGATAGCCAGCGCCGTTGACAATCGAAACAATGTTAAATCAAGTAGTTATGTCTCAAAATAACGACTCAATAAAAGTGAAAACATGGTTGGGCAACCATGCTTAATAGTTGCGAGCGTGGACTTCAAAATTTATAAGTCACGCCTTTCGCCTTAGAGCACCATCTGTCGAATGCTGGAGAAACCTTTTTGCTTATAGTAGCGCCATGCAAGCACAGCGGTACGAAGCAAAGAGCATGGTCTCGGAGATGACGGGTGCGCAGCGTAAAACCACGCCATGCGTCTGCCATCTCGGAGGTCATGCAAAGTACAAACACCGCCCACGGCACATTGTGCATTTGCAGCGTTCTTGCACCGCCATCCGTCGCTTCATTTTTGTCAGGTTTGTCTGAGCGAATTTAGTTGGACACCTGCTGCACAGGGCGCGTTCGGCCGGCACGCTAGCTACACGGCTGCATGCGCTGGAGCATGGGAACATAGCGGCTGGACGACACTTGGGCGTTAATTCCTGCCCGTTCATTGTGGGAAAAAACGGGAAGAGCTTCGGCTACGAAAAAGATTCGTCACGCATTCCGCGGGCCAACACAATCATGCGAAATTTTTTGGTGTTATAACTCCCATGACTATCTTCTCCCTGGTAATGAACCCTCTCCCCGAATTGGCGTCAACACTTCTGAAAAAAAGGTGGCTCCATTACGCGAGTAAATACGGTATTTCATCCTTACGTGTTCGACTTTGTGTGCACACTCAGAATCGCACAACAGTGTTTGCAAAGCATGATCCCTCTTTAGATTTGTCCAGAATGTCTTGCTACAGTCTGCCTCATCTTAATGTCACTGGCTCTCGCGTGCAGAATGCAAATTTTTTTATTTTTTTTAAGGCTGTGTACGCACTGCAAGCGGGTGTGCTGCAACCAGTCTGCGATTTGCTCACCGTCCAAGACCCCAAGACACTGCTGGTAGCCCTGGACGCCATTCGCAACCTCCTGGCTGCTGGTGAAAGGCTGAACGAGCGAGACCATGTCTGCTCTATGATCGAGGAAGCTGGTGGCCTGGACAAGATTGAGGCCCTACAACATCATGAGAATACAGAGGTCTACCGTGCTTCTCTGTCCATCATTGAGGAGTTCTTCTCAGATGAGGTGAGTTCCGTGAGTGCTGCGCTGACTGTTGGTACCTTGTTTCCGTGTGGGTCACGCAATTTCACTGTCTGTTGCTTGCGAAATCTTTGATCAAGTGCCAGTGTGTCTGCAAAGCGACCCGTTTCCAGAATTGAGATGGCATGCCTGGGCGTTTGTTGCCTCAAGCAGCCAATGCCATTGGATGCCGGGCCATTCAATGAGTGTGTCAGTTTCATGGTGTCAGACAGATGTGATAGCAGATTGCTGTTCTCGTGGATCTGAGAAAGTCCGAGAGGGTCTACCATAACACCTGCTAATTTTTCACAGCTGTGCAATACTGTGCAATGGCAATACTTAAAAAGCTTTGTACTCTTGTTAAAAAAGCAGGTAGTGAGTAGTTTATTCAGCTTTTACACACAATCTCTTTTTTGTCAATAGTGCCATTTCGGAATGTGCGCATTTGTACAGTGAACTCTCGGTAAATGGAAATCTGTTGAATGAAACTGCTGCCTAAATGGAACAAGTACTTCTGGCAATATTGGTTTCGTTGTATTGTGCACCCCCCTGGTCACCTCTTGGTAAATGGAACTGCTGTTAAACAACATATTTTCCTAGTCCCTTCAGGTTCCGTTTAATGAGCGAGCTGTATTTCTGCCTATTAACTATGAGACTTTATTGTATTAACAGTGAAGTTTAGTTTACAGGCACAGTTACAGCCTAGCAGCAAAGGTGCTGAGCATGAGATCCCCCCACTCTCGTACAACGCACAATAAAGAACTCCAGGGGATAAAAAATAATCTGGTGTGTCTAAAACTATTGCCTTGGAAATGCATCATTGTTTTGGCACACAGGAGCTTGCAATTTAATTTTTCGTGCAGTAAAATGGAGAGTGTTCTTATCCATTGTATATGAATATTTCATTTGTTTATTTATTTATTTTTTTCCACATTTTGCAGTCTGAAGATTACAGCCTGGCACCTGAAGGTGGCGGCGATGCTTTCGCCTTCTCTGCACCGGCCCCATCAGACCAAGGCTTTTCCTTTTGAGTGTTGTACAGCACCTCCGTGTACAGATTGTTTATAGCCTCATTTTAAACACCACTTTGTTTTTCTGCTCCTTTTTTTTAAACTTTGTATTAAAGCTGTGCATGCCTGGAAATGGCTTACATGATTTCGTTCTGCCTCCATTGCGTGGTTATAGAATGCAGATGACCATGCGCTTCCGCAAAGTGTGCACACATTTTCAGATAATGTACAAGTATTAGTGGCAGCTTATGCTTAGTTGCACCTTGGCTGCAGGCTTGTCAGGTACAGCTCTAAGCTTTTTGTATTCAGTAGCAAGCATAGGCCTTGAGTTCATATTAAAATGTTTTTACACCAGTTCAATAATTACAAATGCCACTCACTGCCCTTCTGCTGTGATTTCTGTCCAGCTCAACTGTGCGTGCACTGGCCGCTTCTGCTCTAAAGTTTCGGAACAGATGGTCCTATTGGTAACAAAATAACAGCGAAGCAATAGCTGTCAGCTTTTCATAAAGAAGGTTGCTAGTCAGTGGCACGTGCAGCATGTTCGATTTTTGAAGTCTAGGAAGATGAGACTGAGTTTTTGGTTGTCTGAACAAGATACATTTTCTATGTCGGAACAAGATACATTTTCTATAAGGATGAGGTTGTTAGATATGTGTGATAATGTCTCAATAAATTTTAATGTGCGACTGCTTTTACTGAAGTTCAAGGAGAACTTTTCCTTTACTCTGATGATGGAGACTTTCCAATCCTACCCTGGTGCTACGCCCTGCTAGTGCAGTCGTTAATTTTCAGTCTACGCATTTCAAGCGGTCAGTTGTAGGTGTAGTGCACCAAGTGCCTCGTCCAGTTCCTTGCGACCAGTTGGTTGCACGAAGCTTTCGAGGTGCATGCATTCTGTATGTCAGAATTGTGTATCAAATTAGTCAGTCGTAATGGATAGCTGCAAAGTTGCAAAACCTCTCTCTTCCTCCACTTTCGCCCCAAAGGGCGCGGGCAGCCTCATCCAGGCAATATCGTACATATTGAAAGATTTTGGCATTACACTGGAAGGTTTGCCTATGATGGAAAAACAAGTGCATGTTGGCGCTTCCCTGCGACACAGGTGAGAGCACAAAGAGCCATAAAAGAATGTTAATGCGAGAGATGTCTCTCCTTTCTAATCAATACTGCACGCTAGCAGTGTGCTAGTGTTAGTGCCAAATCATTTTTTTGTGTGCATTTACAGGTGCATAACTGTACTGGGTCCTGTCCATCATTCTTGATAGCATATGTTGGAGCTGGTAAATATTGATAAATGGGGGCTATGTTTACTGCAGGCCAAACCTAAAGACCCCCTGCGGTATGTTGTATTGACTCTCGGCCAATCTGCAGTGTGGGCTCCCGAGAACGCGCGAGCTAAACATAGAGCAGCATGTGGCTTTTAATACAAATTTCCTCAAGCTGCCCAGGCGAAAAAGGCAGCGAGCACGCATTTGGATTATTTGGCTGTTTTGCGTACTGGCTTCGAGGCGCAGCATTTTGCCATTTTGAGCGTGAGGGGTTGGTTTTGCTGCACCAAGTTCTTGAGTGCAGCTGAAGCGGCTTACCCCATTTGGGCATCCGGTAATATCGCATCCACGTGGCATTTTGTCGCACTTTCTGTTATATAGTGGCTTTTGTGAGCATGCAATGTACATACACGCAGCAGTACGTAAGCTACCACTGACACACGACGGTGTGTGTGACACAGTTCGGCAGACACAAAGCTTTTGAGCCATTCGTGCTGTTTCCCATGGTAATGCCAAGCGGTTCTTTTTTTTTTTTTTTCTGCGAGACAAACTGATAAGCAGCATTTCAATAATAGTACTGAACCGAAGGTTCTGCTTTTTTTTGCAGCTGGTTTGATTACTAGTGATCGATTGTACTTTGGACTCGCTGACGTCATTGGGATCATTCCAAAACTAAATGTCCCACTTGTGGTGCATATGGTCTCTATTTGTAGAGGAGCACTGCTGTTGATAATATTGACCTGTTAGATGTTCTTTATCATTGATCTTTCACTGACTTCAATTGTTTGCCTTTAATATCCCTTGAAGGTTTTTTCAAAACTACTTGCTAGTTCTTTTAACCACTCACATGTTAAAGCAAAACAGTTCATGATCAGAAATGGTTTTGATATTTGGAAGGTAAGTATTAGCTGCCAGTAGTTAGCTGGTACTAGTCAAATAATTACAAATGCATACAGTTTAAGAATGACCAACAGGTCGTGGGATCGAATCCTGACCGCGGCAGCTGTATTTTCGATCGAGGCAAAAATGCTGTAGGCCCGCGTGCTCCGATTTGACCTCATGTTGAAGAACCCTAGGTGGTCGTAATTTCCGGAGCCCTCCACTACGGCATCCCTCATAAGCATATGGTTTTGGGACGTAGAATTCTACATCAATCAAATCACCCAATCTAAGAAATAGCTTTAGCCTGTACTAGTTCAGTTATGAAGAAAATGATGCCATGTTCCTGGTACTATGCAGTGGTGCGACAAAGTTAATAAAGCAATAAACTGGATATTGTTGGTCTACATTATAAAGCACTTCTTTGTAAAGTACATGTGAGCATTAAAACAAAAAGCAAATTGTCAGAAAATTTTTTATAAAGTAAAAAAAAACATACGAAAAAACGCCACTTTCTCAATGGCGGATGTATACAACCTTGCCTCAATGGACGTTCACTCTCTGGATTGATGCCATGACCTACGGCCTGTAACCCTGCTTTCGCACAACTTTGCAAGATGCACGAGTGGGACTATTTCTTTAGTTGCGAAGGTGACCAGCTGGCATGCTTTGGTCATCTGTGCGGGGCCTTTTCGAATTTGAGGCTAAAACGAGCTTTTTGTGCATTCCTGCCAAGATCTTGGAGACTTCCGGATTTCAACCATTTCTTCAGTTTGAACAGTTGTGAAAACCTAGTGGAAATAGAAATTTCAGTACATGATCTGGCCCCATTGACAAAAATGCAGGTCAATCCGCTCCAGGTTTTTTGGGAATCCACCGCGTTTCATTGCAAACAAATTTAGGAGGTGTTCATCTAAGCGTACAGTAGGATCTCGGTCATGCGAAACCGTTGCAGATACGAATTCGTGAAATTTTCCCAGCCAAATTCAAGTGTCCACTGAGCCAAAATATAAATGTTCCAAACACTTTTCCTAAATCGTGGCGGGCGATATGAACTAGAGTACTGAAACCGTTGAACGAAGGCCGTGAACAGCGTGCTCAAAGTTTCGAGCACGCTTCGATAGGCAGTGCGTGCGACCAGCGCACGCACTGTCGTCAAGGGTGCCTGTGGTTGTTGGCACAACCGCTGTGGAAGAAACCGCAGTCGCTGTTGATGCGATCATGACAACGAAACTTGACAGAACTGTGAAAGTGTGTTCGCATCCAACACTTGACCAGTCAAAGCAACGCTGCTTTAAGCAAATCGTTGAGGTGCATCCACTAAAATGTAAAAACATTTCTGAGCAGACTGAGTTGTCAGTTTGTCATGTAAGACTAATCATCATATAGAAATAAATTTTCTTGGTGGGGCCAAGCTTGAACCCATGCTCCAAAAGAAAGTGTCTAAACTCTGGGCTACACACCCACACTTGCTTAATGGCAATGCACATATTTCTAGAAAAGTTTCACTGAATTTAATGTTAGCGGACTGAAAGCCCCCCGCGACACCAGATTTAAGAGGCCACACGGAGGATTTGTACACAGCAGGTGAATTCTGACATTATTTACTGGCAAATGCGTTTTGGTAGTCCTAGGATACGCCTTCCCGAGAACAATTTCAGGCTCTCGCAAGTGAAGGCAATACTGCATGCCAGTGTTGCCCAAGAACAACTTTCTTGGAAGGGCTACAACTTTCTAGAAGAACTCTACACTGACACATCACTTTACCTACACCCAAAAGAGGTTCTGTGTGAATTTTTCAACACCAGACACAAACGCAGCCATGGAGGCCTTGTAGTATTTTATGCAAGGGCCATGCATATGTCTTTTTTAACAGAATGGCATGATAAACATTTACCTCAAAACATAGCCACCAGAAAACGCTAGTGTCGTAGTGTCGTACTTCATGCGACAAATTTGCAGAAGCAGTCAGTTCAATGCTAATTGAAGCCTGACATTTCTGTGACCCTTGGTATTTACCTTTTACCATCACACTGTGTTATTTCATGTCACGGGTGCTAATTCTACAATTGATGCACTTCTAGGCACGTCAAGGTTTTTTACTGGGCTTGGGCAAATATTTTAGCACATCGAATATTTGAATGAATATTGCAGTATTCAAATTCGCTTCCATTTGAACTTAAATGATTGGAAATTTCAAAGTGTTATGAACAAATAAATTCGTACAAGTCCACATGTAGTCCCCCTGTAAAGGTGGTTTCACTGTCTATCCAGTGAGAATCTGCACTTTCACGAGTCCCACTTTATGGTTGTGTGAACATACCCTCTCACTTATTCTCCCATATTTAATGGCGAATTCAACTGGTAGATCCGGAGCGGCCACCGAAAGCCTGGAGGGAGTACTCGGACTGCGCCGAGCAAGATCTGCAAGTGGAACACGTGAATGGCCCGCATGAGGTCATTCCGGAAGTTGTTCACTTGTACGTCACTAAACCAGTACCGGAAACTTTCTCGACGTAGCAGATTATCTTTGGCCATGCACAGGGCGGACCAGGAAACATTTCCTTATGCATAATTTCGTATAGCACATACGGCTCATCGTGCTCGCTGCTGCTACTGCTTGCAGAACTTAAAACGAGAAGCAAACCAGCGGCAGCACGTCCAGAAGTCGAACAACACCATTTTAGGAATGTAAACATGTACGCAGGGCGACTAGACACTGCCTCAAAAAATGCTGAAGACAACCAAGCTGCCCGACTGTAGCGGAAATGACGGCAACGCTTTCTTTGAGTTTCAGCGAAGTCCATTTCTGCAAGAAGGAACATACAGAAGTTCCGTGTCTGACTGGGTTGCGCCTAGTGGCTAAGCTACTCTGCTGCTGAGGCACAGGTCGCGGGATCGAATTCCGGCTGCAGCGGCTGCATTTTCAATGAAGGCAAAAACGCTGTAGGCTCATGTGCTCAGATGTGGGTGCACGTTAAAGAACCTCAGGTGG